CCAGGATAATCCTATACTAATGAGGAAAAATTGCTGGGAATAAAATCCAAATTGAGTAGAACAAGGATAATGGCAGCAAAGAGAAGGTTTAAATAAAAATGAAGGAAGAGGATGGGGCACCTGGGTGGCTTAGTCGGTTAAGCGTCCGACTTTCGCTTAGGTCATGATCTCACGGTTCGTGGGTTCGAGCCCCGCGTCGGGCTTTGTGCTGACTGCCAGCTCAGAGCCTGGAGCCTGTTTCAGTCTGTGACTCCCTCTCTCTCTGACCCTCCCCTGCTCACTCTCTCTCTCTAGAAATAAATTAAAAAAACCTTAAAAAAAAATTAAAAAAAGAAAAAAAAATGAAGGAAGAGGATAGAACAAAGTAATCTCATAAGAATGAGGCCATATTTTTAATACTTCATGAAAACAATAGAAGGAGAAGCTGTAAAGCTAGAAACACTGGCCTTACTCACTCCTTCAAAAGTTCAGGAAAACTAATTTTGTATAAAAATGAAAAGAACCATCAATGAATAAAACAAAGTTAATATGGAAAAAAAGAGAGAATAAAGCATAGAAAATGCTCCTACAGACAATGAGAGTACACCAGAAAAAAGATTCTAAATTAAAAGGCACCAGCACAACTGAGGACAAAATTATAGTTTTGAGAACAGAGAGATCAAATGAAGGTTTACACACTGAACCATTAGATCCTACACCTACCCTCAGTTCTCTTCCCCACTTAGCTCTAAGAACCTGTCAGCCAGATTTATAATCTCCAGGCAGAAAGACCAGAAGTTCCTCATCTAGTAATCTGACAAATACATGACAAAAGACCTAAAGATACTTACAACAAAGATTCCCCATCCAGGCTACTTTTCAGAAAAGGTCTCAGTAAACATGCAGAGCTTTCAATTACCCTTTTAGTGTTGCACCTCTGGTAGCTAATATCACCACACAGCTGAGGAAGACCTTTAAAATAAGAGGCCAAAACAACCACACAGAAAAAGCAACTTGGAGGAAATAGCAACTTGCATGAAACTTCAATTTTGAGGAAAAAAATTATATATATATACATACATAAATAAGTGTATTATATGTATAACTTATACATTATTTATATATCCACCCATCCTCAAAGAAGATATTACATTTGTGAAACAAGAACACAGTGCTCTTCTAAAGGAATAAGAATGAACTCTTCAGCATTAAAAATAGTAGAAATAAAAAACTCAATTAAAGAGCTAGAAGACAAAGCTGAAGAAAACTCAGAAAATAGAGCACGATTTAAAATCATGAATTGTAAAAAAGAAAAGTACATGATCAGGAGATCCAATATCTGAATAATGGTTGTTACAGAAAAAGAAAGCATATTGTGGTGAGGAGGAATCAAAGAAAAATTTAACTTTACTTGGCATTGGAAAAATGACTCCAAGTTAAGAAAGAACCACAAATATGCAAAACAATGGATAAAACAAATACACACCATGGCACATCATCACGGAATTGCAAAATTCTAGGAACAAAGAGAAGATCCTAAAATCTTCCAGATAGAAAGTTTAGGAACCAGAATGGCTTCAGACTTCTCAATATGAGCTTTGGAACCTTGGGAGAAAATGGAACAATGTCTTCAAAGTTCTAGGGTAAAATAAGTGCAAACTACATTCAAAGGTAGAACTGTACTAAATTGCATTAAGGCAGGAAACACATTCATAGTACACTTAGTCTACTTAGCTCTAATGACACTAATGACCAAAACAAAATTTTATTATAACTGTATTAGGAAAATGGGACTGATAAAAAGGTGTGTGCATATGTCAAAGGTAGCACAGGTGGTAGAAGAAAAAAAGCTACATTTCATCTTAATTTTCAGTAGATAAGTTCTCAAACATAGAAATTAAAAACATAAGCTTGAGATATGGGAGCATGAAGGTAAATATCAAAAGAAGTATCTAGAAGTTAAAAGTAGTGCTTCTGGAGGCGGCTGGCTTGAATCTGCTCAGAGGGACTCGGCCTGCAGATTTATAGTTCGGGCGGTATCAATGGGGTGCTCAGAATAAGATCTGGAAACGAGATGTGGCTCAGGACATAGAGCACAGCCCACCTTGGCTATGCCCACAGCACAGGGAGATCAGACTCAAAAGCGGCTACCTCAAGAAACAAGCCAAAGTACACATGGTGGTGAGTCCAAAATACCATGAGTAGGGAAATAAAATAACCAAAGTTTCAACAAGAGAGACCAAGAGACACCATTCAAAGAACACTTCCTGAACGGACAGGCCCTGGACAGTCAAACAGCCTTCTTTAATACAGTAGTACTCGTCAAGTGCAGAGTCTATAATAATAGCTTTTAAAACTAACAAGAGACAGAAAGCTAGCCAAAATGACGAAACAGAAGAACTCTCCTCTAAAGAAATTCCAGGAAGAAATGACAGCTAAAGAACTGCTCAAAACAGATATAAGCAACATAACTGAACAAGAATTTAGAACAATAGTCATAAAATTAATTGCTGGCCTTGAAAAAGGCATGGAAGACGTCAGAGAAAACTATTGCTACAAAGACCATGGAGCTTAAAAATAGTTGTGATGAATTAAAAAATGCTATAAATGAGATGCATAATAAAATAGAGGCATCCAATGCATGTACTGAAGAGGCAGAGAGGAGAATAGGTGAATTAGAAGACACCATTATAGAAAAAGAGGAAGCCGAGAAAAAGACAGATAAACTGATCCAGGAACACGAAAGGAGAGTTCGAGAGCTGAGTGATACAATCAAATGGAACAATATCCATATCATAGGAATTCCAGAAAAGGAAGAAAGAGGGAAAGGCACTGAAGGAGTCCTTGAACAAATTATAGCAGAGAATTTCCCAATCTGGGGAAGGAAACCGACACTGAAATCCAAGAAGCACAGAGAACTCCCCTCAAACGTAACTTGAATCGATTTTCTGCATGGCATTATCATAGTGAAACTGACAAAACATAAGGACAAAGAGAGAATTCTGAAAGCAACTAGGGATAAAAGGGCCCTAACATACAAAGGAAACCTATCAGAGTGGTGACAGACCTATCTACTGAAACTTGGCAGGCCAGAAAGGAATGGCAGGAAATCTTCAATGTGATGAACATAAAAAAATATGCAGCCAAGAATCCTCTATCCAGCAAGCCTGTCATTCAGAATAGAAGGAGAGATAAAAGTCTTCCCAAATAAACAAAAATTGAAAGAACTCGTCACCACTAAACCAGCCCTACAAGAAATCCGGAGGAAGACTCTATGAGGGAAATGTTGCAAGGAACACAAGGTACCAGAGACACCACCACAAGCATGAATCCTACAAAGAACACAATGACTCTAAACCCATATTTTTCAATAATAACACTGAATGCAAATGGACTAAATGCTCCAATCAAAAGACATAGGGTAGCAGACTGGATAAAAAACCCAAAATCCATCTATTTGCTCTCTACAAGAAACTCATTTTAGACCTGAGGACACCTTCAGATTGAAAGTAAAGGGATGGACAAATATCTATCATGCTACTGGAAGTCAAAAGAAAGCTGGAGTAGCTATACGTATATCAGAAAAACTGGACTTTAAAGTAAAGACAGTAACAAGGGATGAAGAAGGGCATTATATAATAATTATAGGGTCTATCCATCAGGAAGAGCTAACAATTATAAATGTCTACGCACCAAATACGGGAGCACCCAAATAAACAATTAATCATAAATATGGACAAGAATGTGCTAATAGCAGGAGACTTTAATATTCCACTTGCAGCAATGGATAGATCAACTAGACAGAAAATAACTAAAGAAACAATGGACTTGAATGACACATTGGACCAGATGGATTTGACAGATATATTTAGAACTCTACATCCTGAGGCCATGGAGTTCACTTTCTTCTCAAGTGTGCATGCCACATTCTCCAAGATAGATCACATACTGGGACATAAAAGGAGCCCTCAATAAATATAAAAGAATTGAGATCATACCATGCACACTTTCAGATCACAATACTTTGAAACTTGAAATCAACCACAGGAAGAAGTCTGGAAAACCTCCAGAAACATGGGGTTAAAGAACACCCTACTAAAGAACTAATGGGCCAATCAGGCAATTAGAGAAGAAATTAAAAAATATATGGAAACAAATGAAAATGAAAATACAACAATCCAAACTCTATGGGATGCGGCAAAGGCAGTTCTAACAGGAAAGTACATTGCACTCCAAGCCTATTTCAAGAAATTAGAAAAAGCACGAGTACAAAATCTAACAGTGCACCTAAAGGAACTGGAAGGAGAGCAACAAGAGCACCCCAAACCCAGTAGGAGAGAGAAGTAATAAAAATCAGGGCAGAAATGAATATAGAATCCAAAAAAACAGTTGAACAGATCAATGAAACCAAGAGTTGGCTTTTTGAAAAAAATAATAAGTGCTTCTGGAGAATGAGTAATGGGGGAGTCTATTTTCCATAATGAGCTCTGTAATACTATTTAAGTTTTAAAAGTATGTGTAATGGAATTTTGAGAAAACAAAGTTAAATTTTAAAGAACATAAAATAGGCATAAGGCCTCCATATCCACAATCCTTCATTATGGCAAACTATTCTTTTTTTTTTAAAGGATTTCACCCCTATAACAAACATCTTATTCTTAAAAGAATTATTTCAGATTTTACAACTATAAAGAAAAGTAAAGGTAAATTAAATAAATGTGTGGAAGAAGTTTATTTATTAATTCAAATCCAAATATAAGGCAGGCAGGAAAACTCAAATGACTCCTTGATCTTCAAAATAACCTTTCAGTAGAGGGTCCCCAAGTTAAATGCCTACCTCACCCACAGAAAAATATGAAACATGAATGGGTTTTATCTAAATCTATGTACATAATCTGAATGTATCCCCAAAGTAATATGATCTTAAATATTTAAAATGCCAACCAGATACGAGCCACAATCAAAGTGTTCCTTTGCTAGAGTCAGCATGACATATGTTGGAAGTTAATTCTTCTCCTCACCTGAATCAAAGAATCATCAGAGCTTGAAATAAGAGTTTTCCCATCATCTGTAAACTGGATATGCCGTACAGTCTTCTTGTGCCCAATCTTGGATTGGAAGATTCTGTTGTTTAGGAGTTCTAAAATCTTCAAAAGAGAAAACCACAGAAAATTAGCACCAAGAAATTTACCAACACCCAGGCATTACACCCCAAAGATATTAAATTTAAATTAGATACAGAAGAGTATAGAATTTCAATCTCAGAGTGCTTTCATTTTAATTAAAGACACACAAATGAATGGAACATACATATGCAGATGTGCATGCACACACACACCCCTAAATAAAACACTCACTGGAATGACCAGACAGCAGTAGGAACCAGTGGTCCTTCTGAGAACTCAACTACCCAATTCATCAAATAAGTGGCAGCCTGGACTCAGCTTCCAAAAAGAAAATTCAATGTAAGATAGATGAGAGAGAAGAAAGAAAAAATCCTGGATGATAGACAAGGCAAGCTCTTTATAAAACACCACAGAGACAAGGAAAGAGGGGGGTAATGAGGGAGACAGCAAACAGAAGAGAATATGAGTAGGCTGGCGAAGTACATCGAGAACACTTAAAAGTCTAAAAAAGAATACGCCAAATGCAGACATTAAAAAAGTGGTAACAGAACAGTCAAAAAAGCTTAAGTGAACTGACCAAAAACAAAACAAAGTAAGTAAATATGGTTCTCTTGTCCAAATTAAAATGTACTCAAGGAAGCCTTAGGAAAATACAAATGATGCTAATATAGGAAATGGTAGAAATTCAAGCCTAACCTGCATGTCTGATAAAAGGTCTGATAGAAAGCAAAGGGGAACTTTGTGAGAGCCTTCCCCAATGAGCAGAACAGACAATCTTACCACTGCTGTAGGGAAAAGGCAGGCAAGCATCATAGCACAGCAGCTCAGAGACCAGGGTTTGAATCCTAGCTCTGCCACTTACTGATTTAATTAAAGTTATGGAAACTTGGCGTTTACACATCTGTAAAATAGGAATAACATCTAACATCCAAGTATTATAATAACTCCACGAGAGAATCTGGTTAGTAAACACCTAAAAACGGTAGCTGTTATTATTTGATGATACTAGACTCAACCACATGAAAATGCCATTTTACAAGTTAAATATAGTTGAATATTGGTAACCTCATATGATCCATTTTTATATTATTTATATTATTTGATCACTTTGAGGGATATGGATGAGGCACATGTGTGTTTTGTGAATTATTTCCTTAAACTAAGGTTTATTTCAAGATACTCAGATTGTAAAAACAAAAAGAATGTAGTGCTGGCTTGGCAACAAGGTAAAAAGAAAAGGGGGAGCAAGGATCCTTTAAGAATGAATAATAGCATACCCCAGTTTGAAAGATGAGACCAAGAGGGAAGACTAAGGTGCACTCATAAATGCAGAACCATCCCTTGCTTAAAAAACATCTACAATATACTTTTTTCAAAATAGCACTCATCTTTACAAATAATTTTTCACAATAATGAAAAAAAACCACCTTAACTCTGAATCCATGCCACATTAGCTATGACAAATATATAACAACATAATAACACTGGCATCACTTTCTAAAAGCTTCTTCCTTCATTCTGTGTGTAAATATATAGTCTCCTCTTTGTGGGGCAATATGGACTAGAGAATATTTGTGTAATTCCTTATGAAAATAAATCCAAAGTAAAGTAAATGTGGCTTGTGCCACAATTAATAAATTAAGAAATAATTCCAAAACAGGGGCGCCTGGATAGCTCAGTCGGTTAAGTGTCCGACTTCGGCTCAGGTCATGATCTCACAGTTTGTGGGTTCAAGCCCTGTGTCAGGCTCTATGCTGACAGATAGCTCAGAGCCTGGAGCCTGCTTCAGATTCTGTGTCTCCCTCTCTCTGACCCTCCCCTGGTCACACTGTCTCTCTCTCCCTCTCCTCTCTCTCTCTCTCTCAGAAATAAATAAATACATTTTTAAAAATTTTTTAAAAAGAAGTAATTCCAAAACGATTGAGAAAGTGAGAAGAACAAATGTTCTTTGAAAAACTATTATACAGCTAAAGACAATGTGCTTTGTGATGAAATCATTACAATTTTTGTATTTTTTAAATGTATTTGGTCTTCTTTAATAAGTTAAGGAATTCAAGTGGTGAAGAGGCATACTTCTAATACCAAAAGTTATCAGAAAGGGTTGGTGAAACAGGTAAGCGTAAGGCAACCCTGTATGGACATTTCCAATGAACCTTATCAATACCAAAATGCAAATTTACACCAAAGGCTGAGTTGCTAAGTAGAGAAAACAAATATTATTTACATTGTTAGCTAAATCTCTGACAGTGTTTGATATTCTTGGAGAACAGCAAAACACTAGGTAGACTATAAGACACAAAAAGACAAAAAGTATGAGAAACCATAATAAAGGCAATCTGAAAAAATATATCACCAACAGGATTGTAATATTAGTTTTAGTCTAACAGAAGAATGACCGATATACCACAAAAAGATGCATTTAGCATAGGTCTACAATGCCAGACACACAACTAATTTTAAATAAATAACTCTGCTGCACAGAAGGATTCTGAAGACTAAAACAGAATACCTCAATGGTTCCATCTTCGCCTCCAAATGCAATGTACTGAAGATGTGGACTTAAGCAACAGCAACTAACTTGAGCTTCAGTCAGATAATCAATCTGACCTGTTTTTCCATTAATGAGCTAATGAAAAATAAGGCACAATCAGTTGTTAGGCTGTAAGAGCAGTTTCTATTCTTTAGAACAGAGACTTCAATTGAAAACAAAGTGAAAACACAGAAAATAACCAACACAATCTCCCAGGGGAACAACAAAGCCCTATCTTAGTTTCAGCAGCTACATTTAGCACTTTACACTTTTCATTTCATATTTCACTTTTGTGGTTCAAATATATTTTCATAAAATAAAATAAGCTTTAAAAGGTTTAAAAAGCAGCTGCTGTGCCCACCACCTGAGACACATCAATTTATAATCCCACAGCTAACTCCGCACCTGTTTTCCATTTCTTTACAAAGCCCATTTTAATAGGGTTATCATTTGCTAAAATATACTTTTCTGGTATTTTTCAAGGGGGATAATGAAATGGGACTGAGATAGACATTATATAAAGAGCCAAATTCAATTTAAAATGAGTTTTACGAGCACCTGGGTGGCTCAGTAGGTTGGGCAACTGATTCTGGGTCAGGTCATGTCACATTTCGTTGAGTTCGGGTCCCACATCAAGCTCACTGCTATCAGTGCAGTGCCCACTTCAGATCCCTCTGACCCTCTTTCTCTATGCTCCTCCCCTCTCGTGTTCTCTCTCAAAAATAAAACATTTTTTAAAAATCTTTAAAATGAGTTTTATATCCTCTAAGTCACTCACAAAACAGTATAAATTAAGATTCTTTCCCTTTTTGAGTAGGGGAGAAAGGAGCTTTGGAGAAGAACCCATAAGCATAATATGGGTGGCTGGGAACTTAATCTAAGATTAGCTAATTTCATAATATATACCAATACAATTATTTTTTTAAACCTTATTAATAAAGATGGCTGATAGCTCAACTAAGACTATTTCTTAAGCTTAAATCAATTGTCAGCTACCTCTTTCTCTGTTACAACCTAGTCTTTTTTTTTTTTTTTTTTTTTTTTACTTATTTCTAGGAGAGAGAGAGAGACAGCGTGAGCAGGGGAGGGTCAGAGAGAGAGGGAGTCACAGACTGAAACAGGCTCCAGGCTCTGAGCTGGCAGTCAGCACAGAGCCCGACGCGGGGCTCGAACCCACGAACCGCGAGATCATGACCTAAGCGAAAGTCGGACGCTTAACCGACTAAGCCACCCAGGCGCCCCTGTTACAACCTAGTCTTAAATCATTTTTCACCACCATGAAATAAGCAGTCATATTTGCTTCAGGTACAAAGATTACAGAGTATCAATCAAGGTAGCCTTTCTTTACAGCATCTTACCAGACATTCAAAATGAAAACTGAACTGCTAAAAGCTGAATTTATCTTTCTCTCGAAAATAAATTTCCATATTTTTCTAATAGTGACTAAAACATGTTTTGTTCACTTAAATGGAACTATATTTGTCAGTTTATCCCTTAAACTCTCTCATAATCACTGACAGAATAAAATAATACTTTTATAGTTGAATGACTTCTTTTTGAAGTCTCACAGTTATGATAACTATTAAAGAAAGGTTGTGCAAATTTAAAAAAGGTAATACAAGCCTGAGGACACTGAACTTGACAAGAAAATGCAACAGAATTTCCCAAGTCTGCTAAAAATCATAACGAGGTATGCACGTTCAACTCCACACCCGATTTTATCCCAGATATACAGGGCATGAGGAGCTCCCCATCAACATAATTAGGATGATAATAAAACTTATAAAATACAGAACAAGTCATATTAATGAGTGCCTCACACCTTAACTCTGTCCCCCAAGAGTAGACAAGGAGAAATTACCACATGGCATAGACTGTTTACTCCCAGATATCTGTCTCCTGAATTGGGATTCCACTTTCACCCTATAACCAGCTCAGACTTCTAAAGATAAAAAGGACCATATAGATGAAGAAAGTGAGGCTCAGAGAAGTGTACAATTTACTCAAACATCACACAAAATTAACTGACAATAAAGCCTAAACTGTACATGGGTCTCCTGAGTGAACAGTCACTGTTCTTTCCATTACATAAAGCTGAGCTTTGCAGCTCCAAAGCTTGAGAAGCTCTATCCCACCCTCAGTCACTCTGTCTCAAGCTCCTTCCGGACTCCATGAAAATCAAGGAATGTGAGCACAGATACCAACAGGAGAGGAATGAAGTGAGGTGAAGTATCACTTTTTTAAATTCTAAATACAAGCATATTTAAGCCTCAGCTCAAGACCCACATATTTATTCAACTAACACCTACTGAGCACCTATTAGATACCACACATTTATGCCTGATCCCAAGTTCAAAACTGAACAAGAAAAATGTGAATTGGAAGTAGTTCAATCAAAACAATTTTGGGGGGCACCTGGCTGGCTCAGTCTGTTAAGCATCTGACTTTGGCTCAGGTAAAAATCTCATTCATCGGTTTGGGCTCTGCATCAGGCTCTGCACTGACAGCTCAGAGCCTAGAACCTGCTTCAGATTCTATGTCCCCCCTCTCTCTCTGTCCTTCCCCTGCTTATGCTCTCTCTCTCTTAAAAATAAATGAATGAAAACTAAAAAATATACATATATAATTTTTCCAAATGTTTTCTAAAAAATACTCACCTGCAGATGTCTTGTATTGTCAACTGCAAGAACCATCACTTCATTTTCTTGAAACACGACATCTATTTCTTGCTTTAAGACTATAGCAGAGTTTTCACATACTTTCTTTGTCTCCCAGAGCTAATTAAGAGATTAAAAAAAATTAAAATAAGCTAGTCATATCCTCTGAAATATGTAAAGAGAAGCCTCAGTCTTAAAACAAGGATACAAACCATGCTTCACACTCAAAATACCTATGATGGCAGAAAATTTTCAATTATTAGATTATAATTCAACAAATACTTATTAATTATATGCTATAGTGAGTAGTAGTTGGTATTAAGAGTAATGGGTGCCTGACTATGAACTCTAGTTCCACCTAAAGTTGTGACTTTGGGAAGGTTACTTAACATAGTGCTTCTCAAAGTAAGAACTCTCACTAGCCTTCAAACTGTCTGATACCAAGATAAGGAGCTGGTACCAGAACGTAAATCAACTATATCACTAACACACTATTAACAGTATGCTTAGTGATAGGACTGATAACGCAGTTTTTTTTTAACAAGACTTTCTTGATGAAGGAAGCAGTGAGTTGATTTACACTGTGGCTCAAGCTTATTGAGACTGGCACTTTAAGCAAAACTGATTTAACCTTTCTGTGACTGTTTCCTCAGCTGCAAAAAGGATTGCTTTGAGAATTAGCAAATATAAGTGCGTACTTCTCACAATGTCTAGCATACAGTAAATACTAAAAAAAACTTCAGCTACAATGTATACAAAGTACTATATTAGATCCCACAGAGATAAACCAAGGTCCCTGGCCTCAAAGGCCTTATAATTTAAGATGTGTGAACAAGCTGGAGGAACAGTGGAGTACTGATGGTGAAACACAAAGCAAATCTGTACTTAAATTCAAAGCAGAATTTGGTTAGTACCACAAGAAAATGACATAGAGTTATACGACATTAAAGAGGAGAAACATTCCTCCAAATGCATTATTAGGAAGGGTTTTGCAGAAGGCCTGGGAGGAACTTGTAGGATTGTTAGGAGAGTGACAGGAAATGGAGTATTCCAAACATAAGAAACCACATAGGCAGAAGAATCAGGGAACTACAGGGTGTTGGGGAAATGAGAGCAGTCCAATATAGGTTACCTGTAGGAATAAACCAAAAGAAAGACTGGAACAGAATAAGCCCACACTATAGAGAACTTCAATGTAAACTTAGGACTATCTACTTACTTTTAGTAATAGTTTTTGAGCAAAAACGACATGACTGTATTGTACATGATGAAAATAGCTTGGAAGCAGCATGTAGAAAACCAAGAAAAAAAAAGATTGTGGCATACACTAATACATTAAGAGAGGCAACATGTAATGAACACCTAAACTTGAAATGAAAAAGTAGAAACAAATGACAAAAAAATGGAAAGGCAGAATCCATTAGAATTGGCAAATAATTGGATGGGGAGATTTAAGATGCAGGAAAGAGTAAAAAATTAAGTCAATGTATTACCTAGTAATATATTTAAATTAATCAAAATAGAGTTTAACCAATGGACTTCAGCGCTTGGTCCATGATAATACTCAATGAACATGTATGGAATGAATGAGGCTGTTAGAGTCCATATAATAGCACTTTTCAAGGATAAATATGAATCTAGTAAATTCTTGTTTTACTGCCCCCAATAACTGCCCATCAATTTCTTAGTTTCTAGGAGGTTTAGCTTTCAATCAAATAAATGTCTAAAATGAAAATCTCAGTATCTCTCACCCTGATTGTCTGGTCATCAGAAGATGTCAAAAATGATGATCCATCAGGAGAAAACATCACACAATGAACCCAACTTAAATGTCCTCTGCAGTCAGCCACTTTTAAACAAGAGTCCATGTTCCACAACTACAGAATAAACATAACATATAGGAAATCACATCTTGAACATATCAAGAATATTGAAAATAGCAAAAGTAAACCAGAAATTTCACTTCTATGAATATAGTCCAAGACAAACTAGCAAAAATACAGAATGACTTGTGTAAAAAATTATTCATTGCATCTTATTTTTAGTAGCAAAAAACTGTAAACAGCCCAAATGATCATCAATAGGGAACTGACTGGGGCACCTGAGTGGCTCAGTCAGTTGAGTGTCCAACTCTTGATTTTGGCTCATGTCATGATTTCACAGTTTGTGAGTTCAAGCCCTGCATCAGGCTCCGCACATTAGTCTCTGTCTCTGTCTCCCTCTTTCTCTGCCCCTCCCCTACTCATTATCTCTAAATAAATAAATAAACATTAAAAAAATACAGAACTGACTGAATAAAGTACATAATGGAATATCATATAGCTGTAAAAACACCCTGATAATTACTAGTCACTGGGATAGATTATTTACAGAAAATAAGCAAAGAGCATATATATTTCTACCTAAGTATATATATTACACTATACACAAACACAAACACCTGGATACACACACTATGCTGTGTAAGAGATGAAAAGCAAACACTGATGTATACATGGATATAGGTATGGAGATTTTATTTGTATAAAATACACACAGATACCTGCTTATATACACAAAAAGAAACATTCGAACATTAAACGAGAAACAAAAAGTTACCTATTGGCAGGAGTTAGAAAAAGAAGGAATAGGGACAAAAACAAGACTCCTATGAATATAACTTATTATAAAACTTTGATTTGGAATCATGCATTTTATCTATTTTTTATTAGTCATCAAAATATAGACTATTTTCCATTGTCATCAAATTCTCATTTCAACTGATGGCAAAACCCTACAATAAATGAATATACTAATTGTACATGTACACATTTCTGTTATTCATGGTTGTTACAAACTGTAAATGTCTGCCACCCTGGCTATTATTTTGTCCTGAGTTGTGCTATAAATTATTCAAATATATTCCAGTCTAATGAAGTACCATATGTGCCTGAGTTCCTCTCATTACACTCTGAATGTCAGACCCACTTTATGATTTCAGAACAAGCATGGACAAAACAAGTACTTCATCACATGCCCAGTGGGTTTCAATCAGTGAGTTCTATGGTTACAAATTAATTGTATGAAATTTTCTTTGCTGTGTCATTGCAGTCTAAGGTCTTGTGGACATACAAAGCTAAAGGCCAGAAATGAAAGTGGTCCCATAACTAAGAAATCTCCATTGAAAATCCTTCCCTCTTCCTTTCTAGTTCTCCCCCATCATATCTTAGAGCCTCCAAAACCAAGTCCTTATTTTAAGAAAAAAGACAATGTTTTCTAGAGCTTTCTAATAGGAAAGGGTAGGGATTTTAGAAGTAACAGGAAAGGCTGAAAGAATAGTTACTCCTTCACTCCTCCTAAAAATCCTGACAAAACCCTGAAGGAGGAAATTTTCAGCCACATCTACCTTGAGGATCTATAGGTAAAGTGCAAGATCTCCTAGCACATCTGAATTTTTCAATTCAAGGACTCTGCTCAAGAGACCACTGCCCACAGCACCCTACTTCTTCCCATCATTTCAAACAGGACTAGAGCTTGTTCACACTCACTGCCTCTGCTTCCAATGGGAAGATTCTTGGCAGGGAAGTTCTTCAGTAAGTTGCATTGCTTCTGTACTTGGGAGTTAAGTAGAGCTTACGGAGGTTTAACCCACTCACTCTCATCTATATCTCCACACTGAAGGGCTATAGCTCAGAAATTCTCTCCAACAGCTTCACAGTAAGGGGCAAGGTTGTCAAACTCACTAAAAATTGCTGAAATAAACACAGAATACTAAAGAAGTGCTTGCAACAGGCAAGCTTCCTTTGAGGAGACCCTTTGAACCAAGTGGATTTGTCTATTTTCCAGATAAAGGCCCATACCTATCTTCATGGACTGTCATCACAAGGGTCTTCAAATTACCTGATGATAAGACCCACTCAAGAAATAAGTAGTAACAAAGCTTGGAAAAACTAATCCATCTTTGGATTAGGAACTGTTTCTGAAAAAAATAATACAGCCATTTGCTGGGTATAATTCTTCTAGGATCAGTTAGGCATGGACTCTGAATACAAAATGTATCAGGTAAGTGAAAAATTACAAATATAAATGGGTAATTTGTAAGGGTCATTTCATGCATTACTCCTTACCAATGAACATCTTAGGTTAACCAATTCTAAAGTGATCTTTCATCTTATTCTTCTCATCTTATTCTTCTCAATGATCTATGAAGTCTGAACTGGATTCATCTCTTATCATTCTTTTACAGAAGAGTCTATGCCTATCTTGTTTAAGAGATGCCATGTTTCTACCTAGGAAACCAGTGGCCATTCCACTGGTTCCCCAGACTTTGACACATGCTAGCCATTCAATAAATGCTTGGTGTGATACTACCATTCCCTATCATACTGTCAAATCAAATCTCCAATCACTGCTAAAGTAATAAAGCTGACTATACAGTTTAATACCTTAAAGCCATAAGTCTATGCTATGAAGAAAATGCTCTACTATTTCTCAAACATCCTCAGTAGTTAATGGTTTAAGTAGCCCATTTTGGGGGGCATCCTTGTACCTCTGGAGACCCAAATTTCACAGACTAAGTGAACTACTCACCTCTACACAGCACTGGGACAAAGCCACCACTGCCAAATGATTTTGTGGGGAGAAGTCACAGTACTGGATGGTGCTATGATGGCCTGTATGGATTTCTGCCAACAGGCCACTGGCATGAATGTTGAAAAGCTGTCAACATAAAACAGGTTATCTATGAAAATAAAATACCTTTAAAAATAAGCTATATTCAAATTGAATCTAAATTTATAAGTCCTGAAAAAACACATTTACTTGTTAATAGTCATAAATAAGATTATAAATCAATATACACATACTTTTAAAATGCTGCTCATTTTGAAACACATTTCCTATAAAGAAAAATTTATTGGGGTGCCTGGGTGGCTTAGTTGGTTAAACATCAGATTTCAGCTCTGGTCATGATCTCATGGTTCATGAGCTCGAGCCCCACATCAGGTTCTGTGCTGACAGCTTGAAGCCTAGAGCCTGCTTCAGATTCTGTGTCTCCCTCTACCTCTGTCCCTCCCCACTCACACTCTCTCTCTCAAAAATAAACATTAAAAAAGAAAAATTTGTCATGGATGATCTCTCAAGCTGCCCTAGGGAAAAGGAAAACCTTTGTGAGTAAATGAACATACAGAGCAGTTCTGAATGTGTGTTTATTTAAAAGAGGAATATGAAGATGGTCAAAATAATACAGAGCAGAGGCTTGCTAAAATTAAATTAGCTCACCCATTTCTATTTCTCTTCAGTGCTATTAAATTACTCCATTATGATCATTTTCCCATTTTTGAACCAAAGAATAGCTACTTTTGAGTCATGCAAGCTTCATTTCAACTTTTGAAAAATTTTTAAATGTTGGATATACTCTTCTGAAGTTTTTGCCAAATGATAAAAACATTCATATCAATATACAGTATTGTGATTTAAGACCAAGGTATAGTCTTCAGGGGGAAAAAAAAAGCTTCCAGGGGGGCGCCTTAAATATGTTCTGTGAATACATAGCCCTGCAACCATGCACAGATGGTAAGCAGCACATCAGGGGCCAGCAACAAAACAGAGTAAACCATACTTAAAATGCTTTCCAGGATAGGTTGTTATTAAAAATTAACGGTGGAGAGTGATAGAGGAAACTTAGCAAGTATGAAACAGGCATCTGTCCTATTACCACCAATTATTAGGTGGTAAAAAGTAAAGACCTAACAATTGGAATAGGTCAACAAAAAAGAGTTTGAAAGAAATCAGAGGAGGAGAATGGAGAAACCAGAGAGTAAGGAATTGGGATCTACATGTAATTAAGGGTGATTTTAGGGTAGTTTTATTTTAGTAGGTAAAATAAAGACCTCACCTAGATTTTTTTTAATGCATTTCATGCAATATAAAGTTGTCTTCTTCTATCACTGGAACAGATCTTTTAAAATGTTCAAGTTAATTCTAAATTAATCACTAAGGAAATGTAAATCAAACCACAATGAGATACCACCACTTCACACCTAATGGGATGGTTAGAATTTTTTTTAAATGGAAAACAACAAGGGTTGGCAAGGAGAAAGTGGAACCCCTGTACACTACTAGCGGGAATATAAAATGGTGCCAGTGGTCTAGCGGTTCCTCAAAAAAGCTAATTTAGAATTACCCAGTAATTCTACACCTAGGTGTTTATACAAAAGATATGAAAGTAGAAGCTCAAACAGATACTTGTACACCATGATCACCGTATCATTATTCACAACAGCTAAAAGGTGAAAACACCCAAGTGTCCATCAACAGATGAATGCATAAAGAAAATGTGGTATATCCATATAACAGAGTATTATTTGACAATAAAAAGGAATGAAGTTTTGTACATGCTACAACATGGATGAACCTTGAAAATATTATGCTAAATGGAATGAGCCAGATACAAAAGGCCCAATATTGTATGATTCCACTTATATGAAATATCCAGAATGGGCAAATTCATAGATTAAAGGTTACCAAGGTTAGGAGGCAGAGAAGAATGGGTAATTACTAGTTGCTGGTTACAGAATTTCTGTTTGGGGTGATGAAAAAGTTTTGGAAATAGTGGTGATAGCTGCACAACATTGTGAATGTAAGTAATATTACTGAATTATAATACATTTAAAAATGGGTTAAAATGGCAGATTTTACATATATATATATTTCACAACAAAAAAAATTTTAATCTTCAAATCTTATAAATGCAATGGTTCCTTTTCTGACCCTACAAATTTTAACAAACTTAAGAAAAAAGTTGATATTTTTTTCTTCAATTTCATACTAAAGAGGTATAAACCAACAAGCAACCAAGACTGAAGGGTCACAGATCAATAACTAGATCGAAAACAATATAAATGGGCCCTCAGTGACTTTTTAATGTAACTATATAGTATATTTCAGCTATATTCTTTAAAACTGTACTATCTCAGGGGATTTGAGGAGCTCTCAAGAGACTTAAGGCCTCTTCCTAAGCTAGCACTCTCACCAAGAAGAAGGCCACATTCAGTTCAAGTGCAAAAATCATGAAGCCGAGTGGCAAAAAGCTGGACAAGTTCAAGTCCAGCATCTCCCAGGCTCTCCTTGATTGAGCTGGAGATAGACTCAGACCTTTCAAAGCCCAGCTAAGGTAGCTGAATGTAACAGCAGCCAAGGAAATTGAAGTTGGTAATTGTCGAAAAGCTATTATCATATTTGTTCCCGTTTCTCAGATGAAATCTTTCCAGAAAATCCAAGTCCGGTTAATCTATGAATTGGAGAAAAAGTTCAGTGGAAAGTACATTGTCTTTATTGCCGGGAGAATTCTACCTACACCAACTTGAAAAAACCATATTAAAAATATGCAAAAGTGCCCCAGGAGCCACACTTTGACAGGCATGCCTTACATGATCCTGGAGGACTTGACTTCCCAAGCGAAATTGTGAGCAAGAGAACCATGTGAAATTGGATGACTCACAAAGGTTCACTTGGATAAAGCACAGAAGAACAATGTGGAACACCAGGTTGAAACTTTCTCTAGTGTCTATAAGAAGCTCACAGGCAAGGATGTTAATTTAGAGTTTGAGTTTCCCAGAGTTTCAGTTGTAAACAAAAATGATTAACCAAAAGATTCACATTAATAAACAAACAAATAAAACTATACTATCTTGGGTGTAAAGAATAGGAAGAGGTTGGTAAGAGGATATGAACTTTCAGTTACAAGATAAATGTGATCTGAAGACCTAATGTGTAACATGGTGGTGACAGTTGATAACACTGTATGGTATGCCTGAAATTTGCTAAGAGTAGAAATTAAATGTTCTCACACACAAAAAAGATAAATGTGTGGTGACAGATACATTATTTAACTCCATGTGGAGAGAATCCTTTCACAATGCATATACACATTAATTCACAGATGTATACTTTAAAAATCTTAGAATTTTGTCAACTGTACCTTAGTAAAGCTGAAAATAAAACAGTAATATCTCTTATCAAGTCTTTTAAAATTACTATTAGAATAAAATGTCCCTGAGCCATAAATCAGAATACCTATCTTTCCAAATCCACAGTATAACGGGACAAATTATTTGGCTGCTCTGAACCTCAGCTGCCTCGTTATTAGCACAGGTCCACTGCAATCTGCTGCATCCCTCAGACATTTATATCAAAAGAAATATTTAAGAGCACCCTGAATACTACAAATTTCCTTGTCATTCACTATTTTTACATATTGTCCTCATTTACATGACAAAAATCTCACAATATTCTTCAGTTGTTGGTGAATTTTTCTATCACAGTCACCATAAATTTTAGGAGTAAGAAAGCACTTTGAAAATCACCTAAATCAATGTATTCAAAATTGTAAAAAAAAAAAAAAAAAAAAAAATGATAAAGTATTCAATGTTTTAAATCTGAGAAACACTGAACTAACCAACATAAATTATTTCTGTATTTAAGGAGTTCTGGAGGCCTTACATATGTTAATAAACACTGAGTGACTCTAACAGGGAAATCAACGCACATTTCTCAAGCCTGTGTGACCATGGAGACCTTTCCTCATGAAGCTGATCAACATTCCCTGGAGCACAATTCTGAGAACTATGAAGTTAGGGAGCTTGCCAAAAATCATACAGGTATACTTTATTATTTATATCAATAAACAGTATAAAATGCAAAAATCAAAATATGCTTTCATTTGCTTTAAATCAGGCTAATTTTGGCTTGTAAAAATGCTGATACTTACAAAGATCTTATTTTTTGCTGCCACCATTATCCTAGCGCCATCAGCAGACCATGAACAACATTTTACTATCACTTCCATATCTTCTTGAGGCTCCTCTGAATTTAGGAAGAATTGCTTCACATTAATGCTTTCCTTCTCATTTGCTGATTTCACATCCCAAAGCTTCAGATTACAAAATTAAAAAAAAAAAAAAATTTAAGTATGTTATACTCTCAAATCACACCTCTAGAATTCTACCTGGATTAAATGTCATGCAAATTATTCAGTTTTTCTAATGAACTGTTTTCACTTAAGCAGGACTTCTTATAAAGCTTTTAAATTAACTACTCCAGTTTCGTTCAGCACCTTCCTATAAAGAAAAAAAAAAAAAACTAGAAGCACTGCCTGAAATGCAAAATGCAGAATGTAAAACTAAATGTTAAAAAATCCTTGCATGGTGTGGAGGAAGCTAAAGATTAGGTGGGAACAGGAAGAATGAGAGCAGGAGGAAAGGTGAGACTTGCCACTGCTGCCCTCTGCTGTACCAGGCATGCAGTCTGCTTCCCATCTACTGCATGCACAGCCTGGACACCACACAAGGCCCAGTGTAAGCTGAGTTATAAACGTAGCAAGAGTATCCAGGGACATAAGGAAGTCCCTGAAAATAAAAACAAAGAATAAGAATATGCTAAAAGGAAAGAAGGCACCTTGTGTGTTTATGGGGCTATACAGGGTTCTAAAACAACTGGATCCTGTGGAATGGAATACAAAAGATGTAAAACTTCACTCACTAGCAGAGCCACTTGAGCAGCACAAAAGACAAGCCTTCAAGAAGACCCATCTCCACTCCCCTAGGCCTTGAGCAGCATGCCAGCCTCACAGAGTGATAATGGCTACCATGCCCAGACCAAGGTTGGTCAAGAAAGACCAAAAAAAATGAAGAAACAAAAAAAACCTGCTTCTTAGGCCTTAACTCCGCTTCCAAAGCACACCTCCAAAGTAAAACCAGATTTGTCTAAGCAAGCACATTTTTAGATCTCAAGCTTAGAGGAATATTATATACACTAAGGAATATAACCACAACCATAACCTTTACCCTTGCAACAAATGTGGATAAGGTGGAAGAAGTAAGACATCAGATAATAAAATAGACTTCCTTGGTACTTACAGGGGGTGGAGGAGGAAACCCTATATATAAAAGCCAGAAGTTTCAGTCACATCTACTAGATATATGAGAAATCACATTGCTTCCCTCTTAATATGAAAAACAAAGCAACCACTCCCAGGATTTAAAAAAGAAAGAAAGAAAAACCTAACACAACCCAATTTTATTAAATCTGTCTAAAGTACATTCTGCATCTGGACCTGACTTTAGCTCCTATCCAATGGGTGATTAAATTCCGCATATCAAGGGACGAAGTAAATACCAGCATTTGATTTGATCAAGTTACTACACTGTATAAAGAGCCCACGTGCACCCTGGGCCTTGTGTGGTTTAAATGGCAATTTTTAAATAAAAGTCACATATTGAAACGGTTTATCAATAGGGCCTGAAAAACACATGCTTATCAACATGACACCCTGCAAAATGCTTAAAAGATTACAGAGCCATTTGCGGCAGGAAATAATTTTACAATTCTTCATCCTCTCAGAAGGCAAAAGCTTTAGAAGACTTTGACCCTGAGATGCTGTTATCCAACATCATTTTACAGGACCTCTGCTTACTACATGTCACTGTATCACCATGAACCAGCTAACCATACTGCCTTAATAACACTTTGGGAAAGCTGCCACAAACACAGCAGTTCTCACCAAGAGTGCAATAATGTCTCTCCCCTGCTGCTACTGCTCTGTGCTCTACAATCACATTTTGATACTCACACATGAAAAATCCAAATCCTGTCCCTGAAGACTTTTAACATTTTTTTTCTTTTGAGTTTGGAGAAGTCTTAATTTGATTTGAAGGGACAGAGCAAAGGTTTATCATCTTGAATGTATTAAACACTATGCTCATCATTTGGAAGATTATATAAATAAATCAGGTATAGATACCTCTCTCAAGGAGTTTACAAGCCAGTAAAGAAGGTACGACAAACCTATAAGTGACTCTAAGACAGGTACATCAGATGTGTCATTTGAGAGGAAAAGATAAAGCATATTGGGAATGCTAGACCCAAGTTGTGGGCTTGAGGGAATGGGTTTTGCAGAAGTGGACATCTTGGTCTCCTCCCTGAAGATTAGCCTACAACTTAGGATGGAGAGATTTTCAACACTAAAAAGACAAGAGTAGTGCTGTATGGCCTAGATTCTAGGCTAAAGGGTCAGCATAAGCTAATGTACAAAATGGGAAAACAAAGATAATGAAAAAGGAGAAAAGGGGGCACCTGGGAGGCTCAGTTGGTTAAGCGTCCGACTTTGGCTCAAGTCATGATCTCACAGTTCGTGGGTTTAAGTCCCGCGTCGGGCTCTGTGCTGACAGCTAGCTCAGAGCCTGGAGCCTGTTTTGGATTCTGTATCTCCCTCTCTCTCTGACCCTCCCCTGGTCACACTGTCTGTCTGTCTGTCTCTCTCTCTCAGAAATAAATAAAAACATTTAAAATTAAAAAAAAAAAGAGAGAGAGAAAAGGCTGTTTGGGTACAGCACGAGGTGCCTGAACACATCCTGGGCACAATCCTCATCCGTTCTCAGAGCACCTTTACCATTTCTATAGCTTGTCTGTGCCCTTACCACTTTCTCCAACTGGAATTTGAACAACTACAGACCAGGAATTATTTCATGTTTTGACTGGGGTTTGTTTTTTTTGTTTTTAGTATTTAAAACCCAAATGCCTAGTGCAGTGTCTAACAGATAGTAAGTATTCACTAAATAATCAAAAAATACATTTTAAGTGAAAAGACGGAGTCTTATGTTTCAAGCATAGGTAAGTAGAAACAATTGTGTTACTGAAGGAAAGAGGGTTCAGGTTAAAAAAGCAGATAGAATATAAACGTTCATCTTTATACCCTCCCAAAACGCACATAAAACAACAGTAAAGAGAACTTGTCTCCATAGACATAGTTCACAAGGCAAAGGAGAAAGGAGGAAGAGAAAACAGCAACAAAGCTATAAAGGGTAAAAACGAGAAAGGCAAGCAATAAGGAGACTCCTAAATACTGAGTCCTGAGCCCAGCACATAGAAAGCCAAGAAGCAGCCCAATACATACCACAGAACTCCTAAAAGGCTATGGAAGTGTTGCACTGGGTACCATCTAAGGGTGGAGCTAAATCAAGAGAAATCACTACAAGTCCCTTGAAATCCCCTCCCAAACTATGCAATCCAGGTTGGTGTGTCCCTACTCTGGCTGAAAAGTAGAAGGTTTTTCTGCACCCAGGACAATTGAGAGCAAAGTCATCATTCTGAAAATTGGGAAATTAAGATAAAGTCTATATTCCAAATTTTGAGATCTCTGCCTAAACATCTTCTCAGAGCTTGCCAACCAGACTTACACCCTAGAGGTAGGAAACTAAACATTTTTCTCTGAATATCCAACAAGATCAAGACAAAAGACCTAAAAAGTCTGATATTAGAAGTTTATCCAGACAACACTTCAAGGAAACTCATAATAAGCAAGATTACAATTCCCTATCAGCTGTTTGGGGCTGTAGTATTAAAGAGGAGCAGGATTTATATATCTAATACATATACTGATCTTCCTCAACTTACCATAAACCCATCATAACTTGAAAATATCATAATTTAAAAATCCATTTAATACGCCTAACCTACTAAACATCATAACTTAGCCTGGCCTACCTTAAACGTGCTCAGAACACTTACATTAGCCAATAGCTGGGCAAGATTATCTAACAAAACCTATTTTATAATAAAACATTGAATATCTCCTGTAGTTTATTAAATACTATAGAGAAAGCAAAAAAGAGAATGGCGATACAGATATAGAAAGTTTGTAAGTATATCAGTTGTTCACCCTTGTGATCTCATGGCTGACTGGGGGGCTGCAGCTCGTTGCCACAGCCCAACATCACGAGTATCATACTGAGTATCATTATACCAAGGAAAGATTAAAATTCAAAATTCAAATACAGTTTCTACTGAATATGTATCACTTTTGCACCATCATAAGTTGAAAAATTCTAATTCGGGGCCCCTGGGTGGCTCAGTCGGTTAAGCATACGACTTCAGCTCCAGTCATGATCTCAGTCTGTGGGTTCGAGTCCTGCATTGGGCTCTGTGCTGACAGCTCAGAGCCTGGAGCCCGCTTCAGATTCTGTGTCTCCCTCTCTCTCTGCCCCTCCTCTGCTCACTGTCTCTCAAAATAAAGACAATAAAAAAAAATTAAAAAAAAAAAAAAAGAAAAATCCGAATTCAACCATCATAAGTCAGAAAACATCTGTAGCTATATCCAAGAATCAGATAGCTGAGGTATACCTCTAAAATGCAGACAGAAGCTGAAACCAACAGAGAAAACAGCAACTATACAAGAATATGAAATTTAAAAAAAATACTATTCACAAAGGAACCTGGGTGACTCAGTTGGTTAAAAGTCCAACTCTTGATTTTGGCTCAGGCCATGATCTCTTGATTCCTGAGATTGAGCCCCACAATGGGCTCTGTGCTAACAGAGCAGAGGTTGCTTGAGATTCTCTCTCTCCCTCTCTCTCTGCTCCTCCACTGCTTGTACACATGTTCTCTCTCTCAAAATAAACTTAAAAAAAAGATGCAGCTCTTAAAATATATATTTATAAAATAAAATAAAAAATAAAAAGCTGTTAGCACCCACAGAAAGATAAAAGATATCGCATCCATGATAAAAAAATGGTATGAAATGAAAAAGGAAACTGATAAGAATGGGTACTTTAAGATATGACAAGAGAAATTAAAAATCCAACAGAAGGATTAGAAAATAAAGTTAGAAAATAAAGCTAAAGAAATCCTCCAGAAAGAGGGCAAATGGAGAAAGGAGAGAAAAGTAAGAAAACAACCAAAAATGAGGCAGGCGTTCTAAAAAAGAAAAAGTAGAGAAAATTACATCAAATAATTAAAGGAAGTCTACAGAACTGAAGTATATGATTTCCAAATTGAAAGAAGTCATGAAGTGCCAAGCACAATAAATGAAGACAAACCCACACCAAGGCACGTTATCATGAAATTTTTAAAAAGAAAGAATACTGGGGATAAAGAGAAGATCTTGAAAGTTTCAAGACAGAAAAACAGATCACATGTGAATCGGAACTCCTTCGAACTTCTCAAGAGGAACTTTAGAATACAGAAATCAAGGGAAGGAGGGGTGTTGGATACCTGGGTGGCTCACTCAGTTAAGCATCCAACTTCAGCACAGGTCATGATCTCATGGTTCGTGACTTCAAGCCCCACATCAGGTTCTCTGCTGGCAGCATGGAGCCCGCTTTGGATCCTCTGTCTCCCTCTCTCTCTGGCCCTCCCCCAATGGCGGATGAGCACTTTGTCTCTCTCTCTCTCTCTCCCTCCCTCTCTCTCTCTCTCTCTCTCTCTCAAAATAAACAGACTTAAAAGAAGGAGAAGAAAGAGGAGGAGGAGGAGGAAGAGGTGGAGGAGGGGGAAGAAGAGGAGGAGGAGGAGGAGGAGATAAAAGATAAGGCAGTAAAGTCTCCAAACTTCTCAGGAAAAATTATTTACCACCCAGAATTGTGTATGTAGTCAAAAATACTAACTAAGTATGAAGTTAGAATAAAGACACCTTTAGACAAACAAGGTCTCAAAAATTTACCTCCCACAGATTTCCTTAGGAAAACAAAGGAGATTCTCCACCAACCTGGGACAATAAACCAAAAAGTAGACAAGAAATCTAAGAAACGTGGTTTTAGGTCAAGAGAAAAGCAAAAGGAATCACCAGGATAATAAAGAGAGATCCCAGGATGGCAGCTGTACACTGGAAGTAGTATCACCAATTAGAATAGAGCAAGAGTGGGGCACCTGGGTAGCTCAGTTGGTTAAGCATCCGACTTCGGCTCCGGTCATGATCTCACAGTTCGTGGGTTCAAGCCCTATGTCCAGCTGTGCTACAGCTAGCTCAGAGCCTGGGGCCTATTTCAGATTCTGTACCTCCCTCTCTCTCTGACACTCCCCTGCTCACACTGTCTCTCTTTCTCTCTCTCTCAGAAATAAAAAACATTAAAAAAAAATTTTAGAACAGAGCAAGACAAAACCCTTCCAATAAAAGTATTTCCAAGAAAAGAAAATTTATCAAATATCTAATAAATCTGAATAACTTAAGAGGCAATTTAGATAAGGGATAGTTTAAAGACTAGTGATGAGCACATTTTAAAAAATTAGAATACTCTGTTAAAAAACAAAATTATAATGTTAAATGTACACCACATTTAATCGCAAGGAAAACAAACTCTATGAGAAAGTAAAAAAACTCATACTACATGGCTCAACTGACAAGTCACAATGATATAAATCCTGAACACTGATCTAATCAATATCATAAAATTTATAGGAACCCCAAAGGAAGGGTCAAGTTTGGGAAGAAAAAACAGTTCAGTGTGGAGCACAGTAAATCAAGGCACAGTTTATTACCTAAGTGACAACAATTAGCAGGCAGTTAGAGATGCAGGACACAAGGACACAAGAGAAATGAGGGCTGAAGATAACACATCTGAAAGTCACTCACAAAAGAGATGAGAGCTGAAGCCATGGGACTGATGAACTGGGATGGAAGAAAGGGAATGGTGCCGGTATTTGAGGTTAGATGCTTGAGGAACAGCTTTATTTTAGTGGGCAGGTAAAAAAGTTTAAGAAGGAGTTAGAGAGATAAGAAGAGAAAGACAACACTGACGTCAGAAGGGGAGAATTTCGAAAAGGAAATATAGGTGGTCCATGGAGGAAGAGGTGCTGAACACTGGCGATACAACAAAAAGAATAAGGATTGGATAAAAAAAAACAAACAAAAAAAAAACAGATTTCACACTAATCCAAAGAGCATGAACCTTTACAACATTAAGAATGGAGCCTGACATGGAGGAGGGCACTTTGGGGATGAGCACTGAGTGTTATGTGGAAACTAATTTGACAATAAACTATTTGTAAAAAAAAAAAAAAAAAAAGAATGGAGCCTGAAAATAAAACTAGATTTTACATGCTTCAAGAAAATACAGGAAAGATGGGACCAATCTTAATAAGTTTTAAATACTGAGAGAACAGTCAGGAAATGGAGGCAAGTACAAATGGCTTAGTAAGTCTAGCCATAAAGGGAAAGAGAAAAGCAGTTACTATTTCAGAGAATAACACAATCCAGGGAGAATCAAAGGTTCTTCACTTCTTGGTTTTAGAAAGGCCCAAGAACATGTGTAGGCTGTGGGAAAGAATTCCAAAAAGAAGAGCTAAGGATACAAAAGTAAAGAAGTAATCAGTGAAGCAAAATGCAGGAGAAGAAGAAGAAAAAAGGAACAGCAGATATAAGTAGAGAACTTTCCGGGAACTGAGATGAGAAAAAAGAAAGGGAGTTGGGATTTTTATGGCAATTTTTGAGAAGATTTATGGAGGGGAGCTCTTAATGGGTGGTATCAATGCTCTGAATAGGTATGAAGTAAAGTTACCTCCAGAGAATGAAATGCAGTAACAAGATTCGGGGGCTTCAGAACAACAGAAAAAGTTTGGAACCGGAACTTTGGTGAATACAGCAAGTTAATTAGGAATGGACAGACCATAACTTGGCAGCAAAAAGGGCCAGTTGAGCTATACATCTTAAATTTATATAACAGATAAATGGTCTAGTTTCACAAGTGTCTTGAACATTAAGCAACCTAATAATAATAATGAAATCTAAGAAAAGGAAAGCTAAGTAAAATGGAATCTTCCCAGAACTTGGAATTAGCAATGGTGATGGAAAAACCTGGCTTGACATATACAATTTCCTAAAGTCATTCACTTAGTAGAAAACAAGAAATAATAATAGATTCATATAACTAAAAGATTCTCTCAGAAAAAGTTGGTCTTAACCCAACCAAATTGTTCTGAAAAAACTCCTCTGATAGGAATTGTCCTAAAAAAAGAGACAGGTATTTAGTATTTGTAGATAACATGTTATAGAGATCAAAATCTATTTACCTGAATATTCTACCTAAGAATGCTCCCAACATCTACTAATAGTTAGAAAATTCCTTAAGGTAGAATTCTATACAGAAAGGGTTCCTAAATGCCCTGATTTATATAAAAACAAGTTATCTTTAGCCAACAAAGATAAATTAAATATTCAACCAGCATCAAGAGATTTCTGTAACTTTCCGTAACTTAAGAGCTACCTATTAACATTAACAAATCTTCTCTAGTGATTCTAACAAAACAAAGTAGTGCCTGGGAGGGTTCAAGTATTTCTCTGGAAAAAAAAATGTATGTCACAAAAATTTACTGAGTGTGTGTTTTGAGTACAATTCTGTACTATGAACTTCAGAGAGTCTTTACAAGAAGATGCAAGGTCTCTGCAGATCATAAATCTATATTCAATCTTATCAAAGAAGACATATGAAAATGATTGAACTGAACACCAAAACACATTTTACAAGTGGAAATGAGAAGATCAACTGAACAGTTCCTATCAATACACATAAATACAGATAGAAGAGTGGGTGTACTCAGAACCAGATTCATGGATGTTATAAGAGAACACTTTCTGAAGGTTTTTTTTTAATTTTTTAATTTCTTTAATATTTATTTATTTTTGAGAGAGACAGAGACAGAGCATGAGCAAGGGAGGGAGGGCGGAGAGAAGACAACACAGAATCTGAAGCAGACTCCAGGCTCTGAGCTGTCAGCACAAGCAAGGCTTGAACTCGCGAACTGTGAGATCATGACCTGGGCTGAAGTTGGATGCTTAACCGACTGAGCCACCCAGGTGCCCCTTAAGAAGGTTTTGCATAGGCGCGCCTGGGTGGCTTAGTCAGTTAAGCGTCCGACTTTCGCTTAGGTCATGATCTCACGGTTCGTGGGTTGACCCCCGCATCGGGCTCTGTGCTGACTGCCAGCTCAGAGCCTGGAGCCTGTTTCAGAGTCTGTGACTCCCTCTCTCTCTGACCGTCCCCTGCTCACGCTGTCTCTCTCTCTCTCTCTCCTAGAAATAAATAAAACATTAAAAAAAAAAAAAAAAGGTTTTGCATAAAGGTTTAAGGGTCATCAAAAACATAGTTAGGGGCTCCTGGGAGGCTCAGCAGGTTAAGCATCCAACTTCAGCTCAGGTCATGATCTCACAGTTTGTGGGTTCGAGTCCCATGTCGGATTCTGTGCTGACAGCTTGGAGCCTAGAGCCTGCTTCAGATTCTGTGTCTCCCTCTTTCTCTGCCTCTCTCTTGCTCATACTCTGTCTCTCTCTCTCAAAAATAAACACTTAAAAAAATTTTTAATATAAATGTGTTATTTATATTATAGAGTTATTCTAGCATTTCTGTACCAGAATTAGGAGGGATGGAGAACACCTTAGAAAACTGCTATCAGACATAAGGAGATGACAGCATGAACCAGAGCAAACACTACAGAATGGGAGGGAAAAAAGTAGACCAAAAGATGAGGAGGTCAAAGATAGACTGGACTTAAGATCAAAGGAAAAAAGGAGAAATCAGTAAAGAGGAGACTAGGATGATGGGAGAGACAGGAGTAATAAAGTGGGATTCAGATCTTATTTGAGAAGGTAAAAATTTAAAGAATTTAGTTTTCTTAGGACTACAGATTTCAGGAGGCTGAATAAACTCTTTTTCCTAGCTCTCAAAAACAGGAAAATATAAAATAAAACGCAGAATAAAGAATAAATAAAAGCAGGGCCCTTACAAATTCAACCCTACAGGTCTCAATTTTATGAAGTCTCAAATAGAATATATGCTTAAAAAAATTAAGAATTCAAATTATATGATCTTTAAAGCTTAAGGCAGTAAACCATTCATAAGTAATCATTATGACAAGCAATTACAGTTATATAAATATGCTCCTGGAAATTAAAGAAACTCTTCCTGTAGAAATGTGAAAAACAGAAACCTATCTCTATAGCCAAATCATAAAACTTACAAAATTACAACCAATTTTAATGATAAACAAAAACATACCTTTAATGTTCCATCAGCTGAACAACTAGCCAAAAGCTTATCATCTGGTGAAAATCTGCAGTGATTGACTGAATTTGTGTGGCCAAACATGGTATTTCGACACTCTTTTTGATTCAAATCCCACAACTATATGAGAACGATAAAAAGATAACTACAAAACTAGTACTGCACAAGGAAAAGTTAAAAACCACATAACATTCTTTATTCCCTCCCATTCAACCTTTTTCAATTCAGGAAAATGTTCAATTCATAGTAACACAAAGGTATGAAATATAAAGGTTAACTTGTGATTACCAAGTGATGGAGGAACCCTTAGATCAGCACCTACATCTATTAAAGGACCAAAGGTTACCTAAATAACTAAATAATTACTGCCTATTTAACAAAGTAGTTTGGAATCATTATTTTTTTACTTAGGTCTATAATAAGGAATTTGTAAAATAAAATATCCCCTAAATTTTTAGATGCTAGGTTACCCAAACGGTCATTTCTAAGATTTCCTCATGCAGAGGCTCCTGGGTGGCTCAGTCAGTTGAGCATCCGACTTCTTCAGCTCAGGTCATGATCTCACGGGTTCGTGGGTTCGAGTCCTGCATTGGGCTCTGTGCTGACAGCTCAGAGCCTGGAGACTACTTCAGATTCTGTGTCTCCTTCTCTCTCTGACCCTCCCCTGCTCATGCTGTCTCTCTATCAGAAATAAATAAAACATTAAAAAAATAATAATAATATTTCCCCATGCAAACCCTGAGTCTACACTAGCTAGGCTAAAATCTATTAATGCTCTAAAAAATGACTAAAAAAATACAAAGATAGCAAAGATGGATATAAATACATTTAACAGGAAATGTAACAGGCTTGAAGATCAAGTAAACACCTCTAGGAAGCAACCAACCAAATGCAGACTCCACAGGACAAATGACTAAATTTCTCATCAATGACATAAGTAAAGAGGAAGAGGAGAAGGGAAATTTCTACAAAATAAAGTAGATTTAAGAGACATAACAATGAAATGTCACCTGAAATCTGTATTCTGATTCCAACAAACCCATAGTAGAAAGGTATGTTTTTAAGAATAATGGGAAGGGGCCCCTAGCTGGGTCAGTTGATCTTGGGGTCATGAGTTCGAGCCCCACATTAGAAGTAGAGATTACTAAAGATAAATAAACTTAAAAAAGGAAAATGAATAATGGAGAGAAGTAAGCACAAACCAGGTATATCACAAAACTATTGTTTAAGTTAGGGGTAATAATGGCATGGTATGTATGTTTAAGACCTCAGATTTGCATGCTGAAGTATTTCGGGTGAAATGACATGATACTTGGGATTTGTTGCAACATGCTCCAGTCACCCCCGCCACCCAAAAATGGGGATGGGGGGTTGGGGAGGAAAATATAAATAAAATTGACAAAATACTCGTAATAGAGCTACACAATGGATACCACAAGGGTTCATTATTGTACTCTCTCCTTTTGTGTATGTTTGAAAAGTATATATATTTTTTAATTTTTTTAGTATTTATTTTTGAGAGAGAGAGTATGTCTGGGCAAGAGAGGGGCAGAGAGTGAGGGAGACACAGAATCCGAAGCAGGTTCCAGGCTCTGAGCTGTCAGCACAGAGCCTGATGTGGGGCTTGAACCCACCAACTGCGAGATCATGACCTAAGCCAAAGTCAGAGGCTTAACCGACTAAGCCACCCAGGTGCCACCCTGGAGCCACATAAAAAGGGCTACAGTCATCTATGGTGACTTATACCAACTATACTTTTTCAATTTTTTTTTTAACATTTATTCATTTTTAAGACTGAGAGATACAGAACATGCATGGGGGAGGGGCAGAGAGAGTAGGAGACACAGAATCAGAAACAGGCTCCAGGTTCTAAATTGTCAGCACAGAGCCCAACACGGGGCTCGAACTCATGGACCTCAAGATCATGACCTAAGCTGAAGTCAGATGCTTAACCGACTGAGCCACCCAGGCACCCCAATGGCAACAATATTAAACACAAGAAAAAAACATTCATCCCCCAAATTAATCTTGGTAAAAATCCTTTGAAATGACCAGTAAGTGAGATAAGTCCTGTTCTTCATTTCCATCTCCATCCTAGACTCCTTTTTATCCCAGTCCTAGGTAAATCTAATTTTTCAGATAAGGCAAGTTACATAGGGGTAGCTTCAAATTTACATATTTTTTCTTCTTTTAAAGATCTCACCCACACCCAATGTGGGGGTCAAACCTACAACCCAGAGATCAAGACTTGCATGCTCCACCAACTGAGCCAGCCAGGCACCGCCAGATTTACCTGTTTTCATTGGCTTCTCTCAGTTCAAGAGACACAAGAAGTGAGCTCTAATTGTCCACGTGGTAATACAGGTGTGGTACGGCCAATCTTAAAGCAAAACTTGTCCTTAATTAAAACTGTTGACTAACCAATAAACCCCATAGATCTCTCTTTGTTCTCACATCCTAGAAGTTTTTGTCTATAATTAAAATAAGGAAATATTAATTTGTTCACCCTCCAAAATATTAAAAATACCAAAAATTAGTCATAAATAATACAAAAGTTTTGGATTTTTAGAGGTGGGTTTGTTCTAATAGAGCAAAACTTCTTAAATAGTACAGTAATCTTACTTTTTAGAGGTGGGTTTATTCAATAAGGTACAGCATATCTGAGTAAAAATTAGCTTTGACTATAAGACTATGTTAGTTTGTTATTTTAATCCACTCCAGTGTTCTCAAATTGAGTTGTGCAGAGCCCTAGGAATTCCAGAAACATGTCTGAAAGGGACTCCTGGGGAGAAATAAGAGAGGGAACGAGAGAGAATAGAAATGTAAGCCCATACTCCACTTCAACCAGAGCAATACAGGCTTTATCTCTTACACAGTGAGCTTCTACGTAAGCTTTCTTTTGGAAGGAAACATAAAAGTTCAGCTTCCTGAACTGCTGGGTACAGGGGTGACAACTTTCAGTATTTTCTAAAGTTTTTTCAAATACATTATTTTTTTTTAATGTTTTATTTCTGAGAGAGACAGCGTGAGCAGGGGAGGATCAGAGAGAGAGGGAGGTACAGAATCTGAAGCAGGCTCCAGACTCTGAGCTAGCTGTCAGCACAGAGCCCGACACAGGGCTCGAACCCACAAACCGTGAGATCATGATCTGAGCTGGTCGGACACCCAACTGACTGAGCCACCCAGGCACCCCTCAAATACATTATTTAAACATCAAACAGAATCTTTGAGGTCTTCCAAACTGAAATTTTGCCAAACCCTCCCAAAAATACAATGTCCCATTGCAAAGACAGTGTGACATTAAAAAAGAAAGGACACAGGGCACCTGGGTGGTTCAGTCAGTTAAGCATCCGAATCTTGTTTTCGGCCCAGGTCATGATCTCATGGTTCATGGGTTCAAGCCCCATGCTGGGCTCCACGCTGACAGCATGGAATCTGCTTAGCATTCTCTCTCTCCCTCTCTTGCTGCCCTCTACCCCCTCTCCGCACCTAATGCACTTGCTCTCTCTCTCTCTTTCAAAAATAATTTCCAAAAAAAAAAAAAAAATAGAGGAGAAGGAAGACAAAGTACAGAAACCAATCCAAAAAAGAATCCAAAGGGGGCGCCTGGGTGGCTTAGTCGGTTAAGCGTCCGACTTTCGCTTAGGTCATGATCTCGCGGTTCGTGGGCTCAAGCCCCGCGTTGGGCTCTATGCTGACTGCCAGCTCAGAGCCTGGAGCCTATTTCGGAGTCTGTGTCTCCCTCTCTCTCTGACCCTCCCCTGCTCATGCTGTCTCTCTCTCTCCTAGAAATAAATAAAAATTTAAAAAATATATTTTTAAACAAAAAAGAATCCAAAGGAAGACTGAATCTTTCTGGGACCCAAGAAAGTTCAATCTAGCTATTTTCAATATGGCACTTAAGAGGGGAAAAAAAGACAGGGTGCCTAGGTGGCTCAGTTGGTTAAGCGTCCAACTCTTGATTTCGGCTCAGGTCATGATCTCACAGTTCAAGAGTTTGATCCCCACATTAGGCTCTGCACTGACAACACAAAGCCTGCTTAGAATTCTCTCTCTCCCTCTCTCTCTGCCCCTCCCCCGCACATGCACGTGTGTGCTCTCCCTCTACCTCTAAAAATAAACAAACTTCAAAAAAACCCTAAAATCTTTTAATCTTTTATAATTTATAAAGCATTACCATACATAAAATGAGTATGTTTTTGGTTTTAGGTTCTGTTTTTTTTTTTTTCTATCAGCACATTTTTTCTTCCTCCTTCTGATAACAGAACCTCTCTTTTGAATCAAGCCCCATTATATAATTCAGCGGAGCTTACCTCACCTCATTTGTTCCATTTCTACATGGCTACACTTGCGATCTTTTGCCAATCCAAGAATTCCATCCTAGAGGCCACTAGGATTATTTAACAACAAGCATATAAGACAAACAAGGTCACCTAGTCTTCTTTAAAATTAAATCTATGGGATCTGGGAAACGAGAAATCCTAGATGTATGTATGTATAATATATATATATATTATATATATATAATACTATAATATAACAATATAATTATATATACATAATACTATAATAATATAATATATATATATATTACTTCCTCTGTGACTATGAACTATAAGACCCATGTAAGACTAGAGGTGAGAATAGCCATATTTCCTGCCACACTGAAAGAAAAACGCCTAAACCAAACAAAGAGGAAAACAAAGTCTACAGATGAGAGGTAGGTAGAGTCTAAGAACATAATTTTAGCATCTGGGATCAGCTATGCTTGAAGCCATGTTCTCTCTAGTCTTTTCAGTTACATAAACCAATAATATCTTTTTTCTTTTTTTTTTTTGCTTAAACTAATATGGAAGTTTTTATCACTGCAACCAAAATAGCCCTGATTAATGCATGAGAAAATCAAAAGAAATGTTCTAATGCATCTACCAAATTTGTCTGTAATTCTCATTATCCACACTTACTTTGAGGAAACAGTCACTTGACGCAGTGGCTAAGAGAAGGTGATGACTGTTGTTAGTAAAGTGGCAGCAATTGACTTGCTCTGTGTGCTCATCATAGGTATGTACTAGTTCCCCAGTCATAGAATTCCAAATCTAAGGAGAACAGAGAAAATAAAATTTACAACTACCCCTTATTTTCAAAAGGAGAACAGAGGAGCAAACAAACATCAGCTGTTTTGTAGCAGATTTTCCCAGTTGGACATGAGACTAATGAATACTTCCCCCTTCTCTAAAATATGTATTTTTCCAGGTTTTTTTTTTAAAAAATTACTTGCAAGTCTATACATGTGACCTTCCTGTAGCATAAATAGAATCTCTTGAAAACATTACATTCTTCAGGGGCAAGATTGCATGCTTATATGAATGACAGCAAGCAGAGACATAAGTATTATAAAAACCATGGAAGGTCATCAACTGATGAATGGATCAAAAGATGTGGTTTATCTATACAATGGAATACTACATGGCAATGAGAAAGAATGAAATCTGACCATCTTTCTTTTTTTCTTTCTCTCTCTCTCTCTCAAAATAAATAAACTTTAAATAAATAAGAAGTATAGAATGATGAAATTTAGATCAGAAGGATTAAGTCCAAGACCTGGTTCTACCATTTATTATTTTTGTGTCCCTTGCTAAGTCCTTAATTTACTTGCATCACAGTTGCCTCTTCTATAAAATGAGGATACTTATACCTGTCCTACACAATTCAAGGTATCAAATGAGATAAAGAACATGCTAACATTTCTGACTTCAAGTTATCAATAAATAAGTAAAGACAGCTCACTGAAAAAAATAAAGAGTTTTGATTCTGAGGGAAACCTACCTTTCTACCCCGGCTCCATTAATTTTCAGCTGATGTGAGCCTGAGCAAATGACTTCTCTAAACCTGTTGCCTCATCTGTTAAATACTTAGTTTGCAGGTTGTAGTGAGAAATTGGTAATGCAATACAACAAAGTGTGTACTATAAAGCCTCACACAGTGTTAAATTCCCAAGAAAAAGAATCATCATTCTAGTTACTATGTAAGATAACTAAGCAGTGTGTTCTATTTAGCAACAAGCAAAAGAAATAAATTATCTAATCTTCACTGGGCTCTGGACTTTTTACAGGTACTAATGTCCTTCCTATAGCATTTTTTTAAATTTTTAAGTAAGCTCCATACCCAAACAGGGTTCAAACTCACAGCTCTGAGATGAAGAGTCATGTGCTCTACTGACTGAGCCAGCCAGGTGCCCCACATTTTATCTTGTCAAAGCACCACCAGAGGGTCAAAAAGCTTATTTTTAAGTTCTTTAATAGACATTTCTCTGTCTCTTGCTTTATTTTTGAGTACTTAGAAAGCAGAAACAGTGTTATTTCCTTTTACTCCATTTAGTTCTAACTTTGGAACTACATGGAATGGCCAACTCCAAATCTGACTCAGAGTAGAAGCTATGGAGTGAATTAACTGGTTGGTTGTAAAGCCACCTGGAGAGTCCAATCTATCAAGAAGTAGATTTTTCCAAGGCCTTAATTTAGTCTAGACACTCCAAAGTTTCTTCAAGTGGGTCCAGACACCAGGAAAACTTCCAAGCCAATTTTCTTGCTCCCAGGCCCACTAAGACCCCCCACACCTAGCCAGTTACAACATTCTTTAAAATAAAGAAAGAGAGAAAAGAAAAAAGAAAAAGAAGAAGAAAAAAGCTTGGGGTGCCTAGGTGACTCAGTCAGTTAAGTGTCAGACTTCAGTTCAGGACATGATCTCACAGTTTGTGGGTTTGAGCCCTGTGTTGGGCCCTGTGCAGACGGCTCAGAGCCTGGAGCCTGCTTCCGATTCTGAGTCTCCTTCTCTGTCCCTCCCCAGCTCATGCGCTGTCTCTGTCTCTGTCTCTCTCTCTCAAAAATAAACATTTAAAAAAAAGGTTTTTAGGGGCGCCTGGGTGGCTTAGTCGGTTAAGCGTCCGACTTTCACTTAGGTCATGATCTCGCGGTTCGTGGGTTCGAGCCCCGCATCGGGCTCTGTGCTGACTGCCAGCTCAGAGCCTGGAGCCTGTTTCAGAGTCTGTGACTCCCTCTCTCTCTGACCCTCCCCTGCTCACACTGTCTCTCTCTCTCTCCTAGAAATAAATAAAACATTAAAAAAAATAAAATAAAATAAAAATAAAAATAAAAAAAGGTTTTTAGACAGTGTTAATTTATAGCTAAAACTGGTTTGCCTCAAGTCTGTAATCAACAGGCAAGAGTCCTTTATCCCTACTTATCCTATTCCCTGTACTACGGAAAAAGAAAATGAATTCTATGGTAATTACAACTCAAGAGAAAAATACTTCTCTACCTTCACTTTTTTATCCACTGAGCAGGTTGCTATGAATCTGTCATCTGCAGAGAATGCACAACAAAGCACTTCATCCTCATGAGCCTTGATTTCCAGAAGTTTCTCTCCTGTTTCAGCTTTGAACACCTGCATAAGCAACAATAAAAATCTTTTTACCATAAACCACTAGCCACCATTCAATAAAAATCTTTCTTTTAAAGATCTTAATCAGTATTATTTTGCAATAGGAATGAACCTTGGCAACACCACTCCAAAAATCAGAAATATCTCTCTTTATATGCTTGAACATAGAGAACTATCCCTTGTTAAATGTTTGTAATATCAATAAAAAGAGTTAGCAGCATATAGCTTCAGTTCTTGAGATCAGTTTGGCAAATTCTTTTTTCTTTTTTTAAGTAATGAAGTACATATATAAAAATACTCTAAATATCAAAGTTTTAACTAATTTGATCCTGTTTCCTTCAAAACCAAAAGGTAGAGGACAGATTTAAAGAAAAACATTCATTCATGTATTCTAAAAATAAATGAGAACTTAAGAAATTCCTTCAAGCACTTTGGAAATAATCTAGTCCAAATCCTGTTTACAGTCAGGATTTGTAAAAAATCTTTGTCTGAGCCTATACTAAAATAGGTTATTTTATTTAATAACTGTTTTTTAATCAGAGCCTAGTTCACTGTGCTCTGGACTCTTAGGTCTTTTAACAATTTTCCTTCCTCATTACCCCTAGCTGGCACACAGATGACAGAAACTGATTGCTAGGGTAAAAGGTACTTTCATGTCACTTGGCAAATTTAAAATAACAAAAACGCACAACCACATCTTTTAAATCTCCAGAGAAAGTTTTCATAAAATATTTCAGAGAGCTGGATTTCTCTATTTCTAATGTGTAATTTTCTTCAATTTTAGGAGTTAAATATATTCTAATATGCATAGTATTGGGTACATGCCTCTTTCAATTTTTCTCAAGAGATTTGTTTTACCTGTAAGGTTTTATCAACTCCACAAGAAGCTATTCTTTGACCATCCTCAGAAAAGCAAGCATGGTAAACAGCATCTGTATGGGGGCGGACAACTAAGCGGGAAAGATTCTTGTTGTTTTTTTTGTTTCTACATACAAGGAGAAAATGAATAGAAACCCAGTAAGTAAAAGTAATTTTTTTCAGTAATAAAGTAAACTGTCTTTTAACATTGTTTTGTTGCCAAAAATACAAATTCTTAAAATTAAGTTACCAACATGTAAATGATAGCATATATCTCCTGAAGGGAAAAAAGCAGAACAAAAGTGGCTTTTTAAGAGAAATGCTACCCTCTATCAAGCAACCTGTCATGTACTGCAAATGACACTGAGTTGGGAGAAATCTAACTAATCAAATACATGTCGCTATTTTCCTTTGATACATTAATGATACATCCTTTTGAAACATGTGCAAACATTACATAAGAATACTCTCAAAAAAATCTCCATTTTTAAAAGGAAAGAAGCCATACTAAAGTATGACACTACACCCACTGTTAGGATGATGTACCTTAAAACTGTTCTCTAACCACAATTAGGCACAAAGAAAAAAAAAATCAAGTAATGTCATTTTATTTATATCTTAATCTACTGAATACTAACTATTCCACTAATATAGTTAATACGTTATTTCTCATGGACTAAAGGGGTAAAAGAGCAGTGCCAGAATTTCCTATACATATGCCCCAGTCATTCTGAGTAAAAGTAAATATGTTAAATGGCATCACGCTTATTTTAGTAGTCAGATAAACCTAATGAGTAACCCTAATCACAGTCAGCACACAGCTCATTTCGGATTTTCTGTTCCTCCCTCTTCCTGCCCCCTCCCTCTCGAATTCCCTCTCTCTCAAAAATAAACAAACATTTTTTTAAAAGTATTATAATTTACTAGAAACAACAAAACAAGTAACTGTAATATAAGAACTAAAGTAGTAAGAACCTTGAAGAAAACCAGGTAGGGGCGCCTGGGTGGCTTAGTCGGTTAAGCGTCCGACTTTCACTTAGGTCATGATCTCGCGGTTCGTGGGTTCGAGCCCCGCATCGGGCTCTGTGCTGACTGCCGGCTCAGAGCCTGGAGCCTGTTTCGGAGTCTGTATCTCCCTCTCTCTCTGACCCTCCCCTGCTCACACTGTCTCTCTCTCTCTCTCTCTCCTAGAAATAAATAAAAAAATATTTAAAAAAAGAAAAAAAGAAAGTTTAAAAAAAAAAAAAAGAAAACCAGGTAAGTTACTTTCCCCTTGATCTAACTATTCAATTCCCCCAAAAAAGGTCAGAAAGTGACCTGTCCCATTAATGGCCATATAATGGATGGCCAAAAAGTATTAAAGAAATAACAAATGAATGCATAAACAAATGATTTCTTTGAAAACTAAAATTAAATTTGCTGATACCAACTTGTGGGGAATAAGCTTAGGAATTCCCCAGGGTTACACCAATGGGTTAACGGCATAAAGTACAAAGCCTGCTCACACCCAAGTTTGAGTAAACTAGATTAGGCATATAAGGAGAGAGAAGGGGAGCTAAGGCCCCCAGGATAAAGTAGGGAGGAGCAAAGGCCCCAATATAGAAGATAGGTATATGAAATAAACAAGATTAGGTATTCAGGGTGAAAGCACCCCCAAATTTAGTACTACTATAGAAGAAAGCTGCTTTCTCAGGAAGAAGGAACCAAATTAAGTAAACAGGTAAATAGGGCTATAGACCTCTGCAATGTGGGTGAAGCTACCCAGGGCAAAGATGATTAACAATAGGAAAGGTGCCTTGTTAACCTTGAGGTTATTTGCTCTACCCGTCTTATCCCCTAGTTTTGATAAAGAGAGGTGGTACGTCATGTCCTCTGAGCCTGGCACCAGGATTTTGTTTTGTATTAACCCAAACCCCTAACCCCAAATATCTTCAAGACCCCCTTTCCCCCACATCCCCGAGTTAATGTTCACAGTTTCATTGTCTCTTTGTGCACATCCATCACCATGTTTGTAAGCCTTCTGATCCTAATAAAAATGGGGCAAGGACCCTTATTCGGGGCTCTTGTCTTTTCCCAGACATTAGCCATCTCACATTTAATCCTGCGCCCCCCCCCCTTTCTTGCTAGACAAGAAAGAACTCTAGACCGAGTCTACAACACTAACCTAAACCTTTCTACAGAAAAAGAAGTTTTCTAGTACTGAAATAAAGTATTCTTTGAATATGACCTGGCCAAACCCTGTTAAAAGATTCAGGTATGAATGACTAACCATTCTGTGAGAGAACATCATGGGTTGAAACAAAGTTGATGAATGGGGGAAAAAAAAACAGCAAGAAAAATTTAAAAAACAAACTCAACAACTCAAGAGAACAAGAACTAAACCTATGCCCGTTTGATTATCAGACCGTGTATTAAAATTCTATTTCAACTACTAACCAAAACATCAATTCAGTCAATCCTCCACAAATTTCTACTGCATACCAACTATATGGACCAGGCAAAATGATAAATGCTATTCTTAATAACTAATAGATATTAAACACTTTCTATGAACAAGGTATTGTTCTAAGTACTCTATGTGTGTTTGTGTATGTTTGTATACACACAGTCATTTAATCTTCTCAATAATGCTATGAAATAGCACCATTAATGAGAGAAGTTGAAAAAAATTTCCTGGTTATATACAACTAATAAAGAAGAACTGCATTTCAAGCCCAGGCAGTCTAAAGCCAAACAAAGTCTGTTATTTTAACCTCCAAACTATTCTAGACTACAGAACATATGGACTAGTAACAGAGAAAAATAGGCAATCACCATAAAGTGAGACAAATGCTATGATATAAAGTGGGCAAGTATTCTAGAATACAGACAGGTCTACCCTAGCCTCAATGAGTTAAGAGACTGCTTCTAAGGGAGTAAAATTATTGCCAGAAAAGAATCAAAAAGATAGTTAACTCTGGGAAATGAGAATGTGAGAAAAGATGGAGTCTCTGACTTTTTTTTAAGTTGATTTATTTATTTTGAGAGAAAGAGCATGTGTGCAGGTAGGGGAGGGGCAGAGAAAGAGCGGGAGAGAGAATCCCAAGCAGGCTCCACACTGCCAGCACAGAGCCCAATGCAGGGCTTAAACTCATAAACTGTGAGATCATGACTGGAGCTGAAATCAGACATTTAACCAACTGAGCCACCCAGGCACCCCTAACTTTTCATTTTATATCCCTCTAGTATTATTTGATTTAAAAAAAAAAAAAATCAGAAACAGAGGGGCCTGTTTCAGATTCCGTGTCTCCCTCTCTCTCTGACCCTACCCTGCTCATGCTCGCTCGCTCTCAGAAAAAATTAAACATTTAAAAAAAATTTTTTAATGAGAAACATAGATTACTTTACATAAAACCAACAAAAAACTAATATTTAATTTTAAATTAAAAAACATTTTTTAACTGTTTCATGGAAACTTCCCAGAATTCCTCACCAATCCAAATTAATCACCCACTTCTCAGATCTATATTATACGTAACAGAACAAACTTCTGTTGTTGCACTCATCACATTATGTTTAATTATTTGCTTAAACTTTTTTCTTCATTAATATATTATAAGCTCGTTCAAGAGAGCCTTAGCACCTGGTAACAGTGCTTAATTATTAGCACATTAGAGAAATTCAAATATTTGTTAACCTAAGCTGAATTAAGGGAATCACCCATGGCAACCTGACTTATTTGGAAAGAGGGTCCAGGACTAGTAAATATTGCAAATAACCTAGAGTTCTATTCAGATATAAATTATACATGTGAAAAGTCAACCATTCACAATCTTTATCTCTAGCTGTAAGAGAAACATGGCATATAGAAGGTGAATAGAAAACAAAGCTAGACAAGGGCACTGGGTGGCTCGGTCAGTTAAGTGTCCGACTCCTGATTTCAGCTCAGGTCATGGTCTCACCATGATGAGATAGAGCCCCAAGCTAGACTCTGTAGTGAGTATGGAGTCTACTTGGAATTCTCTCTCCCCCTCCTCTCTCTCTCTCTCTCTCTCTGACCCTCCCACACTTATGCTCATGCTCTCTCTTACTCTCTAAAATAAATAAATATTTTAAGAAAAAAAAGACAAAGAAAAAGAAAAAAGAAAAGAAATGAAAGCTAAACAGAGCCAGGGGTTTTTCTTTATTAAATTTTTTAATGTTTATTTTTGAGAGAGAGACACAAAGTATGAACGAGGGAGGGGCAGAGAGAGAGAGCAAAAAAGAGAGAGAGAGAGAGAGAGAGGGAAAGAAAATTTGAAGCAGGCTCCAGGCTCTGAGCTGTCAGCACAGAACCCAAAATGGGGCTCCAACCCACGAATCGCAAGATCATGACCTGAACCAAAGTAAGACACTTAACCAACTGAGCCATCCAGACGCCCCTAAACAGATCCAGGGTTTAAATCCCATTCAACAAGCTACATGAGCTTAGTCTCAACATCTCTGTCTCAATTTTCTCATTTGCAAAATAAATAATATTTATCTTATAAGGTTTGAAGATAAAACAAATAATATGCACATATGTTATATAACAGGCATTAAAAAGATGATAGCTTACCCTTTCATTTTTCTAATTGGTAAGATTAAGGCAAGAGTAAAACTGAACAGCCTCTTATAGGAATAAGAATCAAAATTCAGTGGAAGTTTAATTAGTGCTATGTGGAAAACAAAGTGTTAATCACTTTATATCCAATTATCTCATTTCAATCTTCACAAAAATACCTCAAAAAACTATTATCTCTATTTTATATGTGAAAAAGAAAAGCAACCTGTAACTTATTAAAAATCACAAAACCAGATCAGGTTTTAGAACTCAGTCACTGTCTGTGGCTTCAAAGTCCATGTTCTTCACTAACATACTATGTTATAGTAAGTAAACCATTTATTATTAATATTTAGTATGAATGGTCAAAATGCCTACAGACAAGCATCTATTTCCATGAGCTCTTTGAAAATATGATTTTTCCAATGCTTACTTCTCCAGAACTTTTCAATAAGGAAGAATGCTTATTAAAAGTTCCAGCCCTTTCCAAAGTAGTTAAATCTTCCTGGAGTGAACTTATTCACTACCTGAAAAATAATGACACAGTTAGCACTCCGCTCCCCTTTGGTTTTTCTCCTAACCTACTTACATCCACTCCAGGTAAAGCATTCCGTTATCGACCTCCTGCTTGGCCTGCAGCTTAGCTTGCTGATAAACTTCTGAAGTTTCTGGTTCACAGAGACCCAGCTGAACAATATTAGGAAATGGCTGTCGTCCAAGAAGATGTCCATTTAAAGATAAAAACTCTTGGAAATTTTCACAGACTCCACAATCCTATGAACAAACTGAAATCTCTTAGAAATACAACCAGAGCCAAGATCTGACATTTTCTATTTTTGTGATCTTGTCACTTTAAAGGCTTAAATGAGATATTCTCTATATAAGCTAAAATTAAATAGCCAACCATTAGGTAATAAATATCTGGTGACCCTCTCCAAACTTTTAAACAAAGTGTAAAAATCTCATTATCCAACTATTACTTTTTAATACATTGTTTTGTAAAAAAAAAAAAATACTTCTGAACACTTCCCCAACTTTCAAACCTCAATCCCATCCACATTCGTAGGCTAGGAAGCATAATAATTCAAATAATCAAGGATCAAAGAAAGGAAATTATCTCTCCTTGCCCCTTTTGTTCTATTCATCCCCACTACTATACCTAGAATTAAATGACAAAATGAGATGCCCTTTAGGGACTTATTTTTCATACCAATTTATACCTTTTCATCCAATATATGCCTGTATTCCACAAATTCATGAATCAGATGAGCAGGGCCTACAAGTTCAGTTTTTGCTTTAATCCAATCCAGGGAAAACATTAAAGCACAAAGTTCCTTTTAAAAAAACAGTAAGATAAGGACACTGTTAAAGACATCAAAGAATTTTAACTCTACCATTTTTAACTCTATCCTAATATTACTACTGAAAGAAATCTAGCAGATAACTAGAATTTAAGGACAAAAATGGAAGCTATTAAAGGAACCAATGAAATATTAAAGACTTAAATATAAAATAGAAAACTTCAAAAAATACTACAAAATACAGGCAACTATTTTTGTAACCCCAGGATGAAGGAAATGGTTGTAAACACAACACCAAAGCAAAAATACAAAAAAAAAAAAAAAAAAAAAGAAAGAGAAAGAAAGTGCTCTTACCTACCATAAAAATTCAAACCTTCAATACAGGTGAAACNAATGAAATATTAAAGACTTAAATATAAAATAGAAAACTTCAAAAAATACTACAAAATACAGGCAACTATTTTTGTAACCCCAGGATGAAGGAAATGAAAAAAAAAAAAAAAAAAAAAAAAAAATACAAAAAAAAAAAAAAAAAAAGAGAGAGAGAGAGAAAGTGCTCTTACCTACCATAAAAATTCAAACCTTCAATACAGGTGAAACCAATATAAATAAAATTTGACCAAAAATTAAAAAATTTATTTAGAACACCTATGAGGGCTTAATATTATTGTTTTATGGAAAATTCTAATAAAATAAGATAAACAGCTTGACCAAAAAATCTAGTAAAGGAAATGCACAAAATAAAAGGTCAAATGGCCAAAAACCTCACCAATAATGTAAATGAAACAACAAAGATTCAGCATTTTTTAATATTATATTTCTAAAGACTAAAAGCAGTAATAAGAGGATTAGCTGGAATCAGAGAAAATAAACACTCTCACATACTGTTGGCAGTGATGTAACTCAGAGCACCCTTCTGGAGGACAGTTTGGTAATCTATATTAAAATTCAGGGACACTTGGGTGGCTCAGTCAGTTGAGCGTCCAGCTTCAGCTCAGGTCATAATCTCGCAGTTCATGGGTTCGAGCCCCGCATCGGACTCTGTGCTGACAGCTCAGAACCTGAAGCCTGTCTTCGGATTCTGTGTCTCCCTTTCTCTGACCCTCCCCTGCTCACACTGTCTCTCTCTCTCTCTCTCTCTCTCAAAAATAAATAAAACATTTAAAAAAATTTTTTTTTAATTCAAACTGCAGGGGCACCTGGCTGGTTCAGTCAGTTAACTGTCTGACTTTTCAGCTCAGGTCATGATCTCACATATGAGTTCAAGGCCTGAATTGGGCTCTATGCTGACACTGCAAATCTTGCTTGGGATTCTTTCTCTCCCTGTCTCTGCTCCTCCCCTACTTGCACTTTCTCTCTCAAAATAAATAAATAAACTTCGAAAGAATTCAAACTATATGTACCCTTTGACCCAGAAACTATGCTCATAAAAATAAGTCCTGGGTCACCTGGGTAGCTCAGTCAGTTAAGCATTCGATCATGATCTCAGGGTTCATGGGCGTGAGCTCTGCCTCAGGCCCTGCGCTGACTGCTTAGAGCCTAGAGCCTGCTTCAGATTCTGTGTCTCCATCTCTCTCTGCCCCCATCCCGCTCGCGCACTTGCACGCACACTTTCTGTCTCTCTCTCAAAAATAAACAAACATTAAAATAAAAACATTTTTAAATATGTCCTAAGAAAATAATCAGACAAGAGTGCTTAAGCAATCTTATTATCTATAAGCCAACTGGTCACCACTATACAATCAAATAGTATGAAGTTTTAAAAATTTTGTCACTCTATATAAATTGACATAAAAAGATGACCATGAAAGTAGTTTAATGGAAAAAACAAGATAGGACTATTTCATTTTTTTTTAATGCATATTTATTTTGAAAGAGGGAGGGAGAGACAGAATACCAAGCAAGCCCCACATTGTCAGAGCAGAGCCTGATGCAGGGCTCGATCCCACAAACTTTAAGATCGTGGCCTGAGCTAAAATCAAGAGTCAGACATTAAATTGACTAAGCCACCCAGGCACCCCAAGACTATTTCTATTATGATCCTATTTTAATTTTAAAGAATAAGTATGTGTAGAACATAAGTATTAGCAGAACAACGTAGAAAACTATATACAGTTACAGAAACTGAATCCTGTCACACTATCAAACATGCCAAGTTTTAAAAAGATGCACTGACCCAATAATCCCACTTCAAAAAATGTTCTAAGGAAATAATGTAGGTACAAAGATAAATAAGATTGTTCACTACAGCATCGTAAAGGCAAAAATCTGAAAATCTAAATGTGCAACAATTACAGTTAAAGCAAATTTAGCACAGATATTTATTGCAATATCTTCACTCAAATGCACATTATTAAATGTAAACTATGTTTTGCTAGGTTAAAAAGAATAGGGTCCAACAATACACCCTTTTTTCAACCAAGAGATAACATACCGAAGCACAGACAAATTACTCAAAGTACATATGTTTTTCCAAAATGTTAACATTTTGAATAGTTAGTTTGACTTTGAATAGTCAAACTAACTTTGAACATTGAAGTAATGACTTCAAATATCATCTATGTGGTAATAATTCCCAAATGTTATCCATAATGTTATGGATATGTTAAGTTAAATTAAATTAAATTATGTTATATTAATATTATAAAAATTTAGATCTGGAGTAGTCTTATAATACACACCAAATCCATCAACAAATCATGATGATTCTATATCATCACTTTCTCTTTCCATGCGTTTTTCTTTTTCTGAGCATTACCACTCCCAACATAGTATAAATTTATTTGTCCTCTATTAGTCTCCCTGGAGAATGTAACCTCAACAAGAGCAGGGACTTGTGCCATTGGCATATCTTCACAATGAAGAACAATACCAGTACTTAACAGGCACTCAATAAATATTTGCTGAATGAATGAATATACTTTCCCATTGTCCATTCCTCTCAAAGTTTAAAAATAAATCCATACTGCCAAAAAAAGAAAGCTACTGATAAGAAAAGAGTGAATTTTTAGATGGTTCATTTACTACAGTTACTAAGCCACCTTTTTAAATCACTGTCAGTAAAAAGAGTAACAAAAACAAAACACTTACATACAGCATAATCTTATTTTTACTAGTAAAAGAAAATTCTAAACATAGGATGAAATAAAAGTGAGACAAAATAGTTTTTAAATAAGTCATCTTACTTTGTGCATATTAGCACTAGCCATGTGGTAGGCCAGAAAACTGTACCAATACATACAGTCCTCTTGATCTGGTGAAAGAGTATGTGGCTGATGATATCTTTGGAACTGAGTGATTAACTTCTTATGTAGATCCTGAAACCCAAATGAAACATTTTAGAAGACAGAAACAATTTCATAACCTAAGCATCACTATAGCTTACCAAAGCTATTTAAAAATGTGCTGAGATCAACCTAGAAAATACTTATTAATTACAAAAGGAAAAGATAGTAGCTTTACAGTGGAGAAACCAGCAGGTACCATTTTAACTAAGTGATCAACATTAACATCACTGACATATCAACTTCCTACTATGATGCACTGAAGACAGAACATAACTTTTGTGGTATTCTTGACAAAAATATTTAACCTTAATCTAGTCAGAAGAAACCATCAGACAAACCAAACTAAGGGACTCTATACAAAATAACTAACTGGTACTCTTCAAAAGTGACCATGACAGATAAAGAAAGCCAAGAAATTTTCATAGATTTAAGGAAACCAGAGACACATGACAATTATATGCAATATGGGACCTTGATCTCAACCACAAGAAGGGCATAAGTGGGAAAGCTGGTGAAATTCAAATAAAATCTGTAGGTTAGCTAACAATATTTTATCATTGTTAATTTTCTGGTTTTGATAACTTTATCATAGTTAAGTAAGATGTTAACATTGAGGGAAGCTAGATTAAGGTACATGCATAAAACTCTCTTTACTGTTTTGCAACTTCTATAACCCTAAAATTTCAAAATTAAAACTTAAAAAAATTCACAGAGAAGCCAGTACCTGAAGTTGGTTGCGATTCTTTTCTATAAGGAAATCTACTTGAAGATCATGTAAATAATAACAAAATGATTTTCCATTCCGATCACAGAATAAGAGAGACTTATTGACAAACTCCTGCAGTATGTCTTCAACTTCTTCAGTTTCCATGTCCCAAAGAATACATAACACCTGGGAATCATTTTAAGTATTTAATTTACCACAAAATTATAATTACTAGAATTGCAGATAAGGTGTTAACACATATGAACATACACACAAACTATATCATAAAGCCCTGAATAACAGCATCTCTATTTCATATGAAGAAGCTCAACTATTTGTCAAGATAGAGAAGAGAGATAACAAGTCATATTCTTCTCCAGCTTCACTAGAACTGAGAAATAGGAAACTAATCTAAGTTCAACACCAAGCTCTTGATGGAGACTAAGAGCAGTAGGATTTTTATACCCCCAACGACTCCTCAGTGGCACAGGTCTTAACCTTCCAATATCCTCTGTAACAACATCTTCGGTATTATATCAAAAGTTACATGTCAAAAATACCCAATAATGAGGATTGCTAGTCCTTCTATTACCTTTGTAGGCACCTTAACATCCTTCTGAAGGATGGAAAGATCTGTATAATAATCTTTGATGTCCTCTCTGAGCATTTCAACACTTATAGACATGGCTTCATCCAGAGCCTCATAATCATAAGATGAAGATTTCCTTATTCTCTTAAATTGCTTATTCTGAAGTTGCCTGAGGTAGTAATCCCAACGGTTGGGAAAATCACGTAAAAGTGCACCAATTAAAGACACTACAAGAGGAGAACCTAAAAATAAAACAAAACAAAAAAACAAAGTTACTGGGTTAATACTGTCTCATTTCAAAAATTACCAATAAGAGTCACATTATTCTTAAGAAACAATTTCTGCTGCATGTTATCCAAAGCCTTAAAATATTTATACATCTTGGGGCACCCTGGTGGCTCAGTCGGTTAAGCATCTGACATCAGCTTAGGTCCAGATCTCGTGGTTCGTGGGTTTGAGCCCCACATTGGGCTCTGTGCTGACAGCTCAGAGCCTAGAGCCTGCTTCGGATTTTGTGTCTCCCTCTCTCTCTCTCTCTGTCCCTCCCCCACTCACACTGTCTCTCAAAAATAAACTAAAAAAAAATCTTTAAAAAAATTTATAAATTTTGGATTCACTTTATGTATTTATTCTAAAGAAGTCATTAGACTCTTAAATACGGAGAACAAACTGAGGGTTGATGGGGGTGAGGGAGAGGGGAAAATGAGTGATGGGCATCAAGGAGGGCATGTGTTGGAATGAGCACTGGGTATTATAAGGAAACCAACTTGACAATAAACTATAATAAAAACGAAAGAAAGAGAGAGAGAGAGAGAGAGAGAGAGAGAAAGAAAGAAAGAAAGAAAGAAAGAAAGAAAGAAAGAAAGAAAGAAAGAAAGAAAGAAACCTGCACTGTTTGTTGGTGTGGTGTTACAAAAAAAAATTTTTTTAATAAAGAAAGAAGTCTTTAGAAATAAGAAATATTTTTTAAGGATATCCATCACAGCATTATTTATTTATATTTATTTTTTTAATGTTTATTTTTGAGAGAGACAGAGTGTGAGCAGGACCGGGGGAGGACAGAGACAGAGGGAGATATAGAACTCAAAGCAGGTTCCAGGCTTCTTGCTGTCAACACAGAGCCCAATGTGGGGCTCAAATTCACGAACAGTGAGATCAAAACGTGAGCCAAAGTCAGACATTTAACTAACTGAGCCACCCAGGCGCCTCTCATTACAGAATTTTTTATAATAGTGAAAAATATTTTTTATGTTTATTTATTTTGTGGGGGAGAGGGAAGAAAGAGAGAATCCCAAGCTGGCTCCCTCCACACAATCAGCATACGGAGCCAGTTGTGGGCTTGAACTCAAAAACAATGAGATAATGACCTGAACCTATATCAAGAGGCAGTCACCTACCTGACTGAGCCACCCAGATGCCCTAAGATAGTAAAATATTTAAAAACAAAGAAATGACTGAATAAGTTGAAGTTATCACAATATTATGTCATTACTAACTTTTTTCAAAAGATATTAATGACATAAAACAATATTCAAGATTTATTGTATGAAAAGGCCAAGATTCAAACTATAAATTATACCATTATAATCTCAGCATTTTTTTCAGTTTTATATGTCCTAAAAGATTGAAATATTCTCATGATACTAATAATTATCAAGGTTATGGGTAATTTCACTTTTTTATCATTTCACACATATTTTAAATGTTTCAAAATGGACATCTATCCCCTTTACAATCAGAATACAAATGAAGTATCCTTTCCTAAGATAGTTTTTAAAAGTCAGTTAGCTCAAAACCAAGTATCTATTTGATGGCAGAATGAAAAAACAAAGGTCTATTGATGCATTAACAACAGTGGAAAAAATAATCTTAAGAGCTGATGTGACTATATAAAATTTTAAAACTTTAAATTTGTGACATAAAATTAGTATGTCAAATAAAACACTACAAATGAAATTAAAAAGCAGACAAGAAACTGGGTAAAGTATTTACAAAAAAAAAAAAATGTCAAAGAGTTAATAGCTTCAATAGTTACAGTGCCCAAAAGTCAATTACAAACACTTATATCACAAAGAAAAGTGAGTCACGGATAATTTCTTAAAATGCAATATTCAATAAACAAGTAAAAATTTTAACTTCACTTGACTTCATAAAAAATGCAAATTAAGAGAACACCAGTTTTTAGGTACAAAATTAGAATACTATTTTTATAAAATCTACCAAAAAAATTTAAAACTCTCATTCTCACTGTGTTTTTTCTTCTTTGGCTAAAGTCATAACTATATCTAATGTCTCCCACTAACATATGCTGGTGTTCATTAAATATTATTTTAATGAATACCAAAATATGATTATCTATTGAGGGTATCAGAAACAAACCTAAAATACTAAATATTCTAGTAAAGTTTCTAGATGTTCATGTGCTAAACTGCCATACTTATTAGCTTAATTTACAAAAGGATAAAATTAGTATCTCTATAATCCCATCATACACAAAATAAATAACCATACCTTTACATTCTTTTATAATACTGTGAGCTTGTTCTGGCAAATCTGCTTTCTTCATATTAACAAAAAGGGATAAAATTTCAAGTCCTTTTTCTTTTCCTAAGCCACTCTCCACAGAGACTACATATTTAGGACCTGTAACAAAATCACAAGATATAGTAAGTAATTTGGTTAAAATATATATAAATCTAATTGAATTAAAACATAAAGGTAGTAAAAAGCAAATTAACCCTTACCCATTACTGAATCTGTAACACTCTTATCTCTGGTTGTAATAAGAATCTGACACTGATTGTCAAAAGCTTTTAGTACCCAAGGATCCCAAACATCATCCAAGATCAACAGAGACCTAATTTTAAAAAACAACAAAAACTTGTATTAAGTGACTAATGACATTTGTTTCAAGCTTGCTTTCTTTAAAAAAAGATATCACCAATGTCTTTTAAAATTTACAAAATAAAAGATATCTATTTCATGGCTCTTCCTCTTTGCTATATTCCTTTCACAATATACTGATTCAAATAAGGGAAAAAAAATTAGAGACTTTCCTCCCTTCCAACTCCAAAACAATGAATGCATTTTATTATTTTTTAAGTTTCTGTATTTTGAGAAAGGAAGAGAGAAAGAAAGAGAGAGAGAGAGAGAGAATGCAGGGGAGAGGGAGTAGGAGAGGCAGAGGGGGAGAGGCGGGAGAGAGAGAATCCCAAGCAGGCCTCACATTGGTGGAACTCAATCTCACAAACTGGAAGATCATGACCTGAGCCAAAATCAAGAGTTGGAAGCTTAACTGACTGAGCCACACAGGCACCCCAATGAATGCATTTTAAAGTTAAAGAATCTAGAGGCGCCTGGGTGGCTTAGTTGGTTGAGCGTCTGATTTTCGCTTAGGTCATGATCTCGCAGTTCGTGGGTTCAAGCCCCGCGTCGGGCTCTGTGCTGACTGCCAGCTCAGAGCCTGGAGCTTGTTTCAGAGTCTGTGACTCCCTCTCTCTCTGACCCTACCCTGCTCAGGCGATCTCTCTCTCTCTCCTAGAAATAAAGTTAAAGAACCTATAAAAACAGAACTGTGTATACTATGTAGGTGTTAAAAAGTGGTTACCAAGTGCCTTAAAATAAGTTTCTAAGTAATAAGATTTTTCTAATTCAGTCTTTAAGCACCAAAACCAAATGAGAAATGGGCTCACAATTAGCATTAGAATCAACCATATAACAATGACCATATTTAGCCATTTTTTTACCTACAAAACTAGCAATTTCTGTGTTCTAACATAATGCACTGGCAAGAATATTATACCTTTCATTTGGTACACTAGTGGAGGTTTTTTCCATCTATAAATCAGTTTGTTTATTTCTAATGAACTTCTGTGCCAATTCTTAATTGGTTTCTCCAAAAACTTTTTTGATCTCAGCAGAACATATGGAGAAAAAATACAACTAAAAGCTGATAGGGTAATAATACACTATAATTTTTATCCTAATGGCACATCACTTCTGTACATTACCAAAAAAAGACTGGGTAAACATACAGCCTGGAAAATTGCAGAAGTATAAACCAAATGCTGCTTATAAACAAAATGAATGACAGGGTGCCTGGGTGGCTCAGTCAGTGAAGTATCCAACACTTGATTTCAACTTAGACCATGATTTCTCAGTTCATGAGACTGAGCCTCATGTCAGGCTCTATACTCACAGCGCAGATCTTGCTTGGGAATCTCTCTCTTTCTCTGCCCCTCCCCCAGGCATGTGCACCCACATACACACTTTCTAAAACTTAAATTAAAAAATAAAAATAACTACTCTCACTCAATATTCTGATAATAATCCACTTACCAATTTAAGAATCACTGCCATACTCAGCCACTATGACATATGAAAGTGTACTGCATCATCAGCTATACTGCAGCATTAAAAAAAGTTTAGAGGGGCACCTGGGTGGCTCAGTCGGTTAGGCTTCCGACTTCAGCTCAAGCCATGATTTCACAGTTTGTGGGTTTGAGCTACGCATCGGGCTCTGTGCGGACAGCTAGCTCAGAGGCTGGGACCTGTCTTCGGATTCTGTGTCTCCCTCTCTCTCTGACCTTCCCCTGTTCACATTGTCTCTCTCTCTCTCTCAAAAATAAAAATAAAACATTAAAATTTTTTTTTAAAAACTTTAGAGCCATCACCTAATTCTCATCCAATTTACTGAACTCCCAAGGAAGGCTTTATTCATCATTGTACTTGCAACACTTGACCCAGAACCTGGCATAACTCTCAATGTTAGTTAAATGAACCAATGAAAGAATGATTGTTAGGTAAGGGAAATCAAAGTGATGACTGAATCCCAGTTGATTAACTATTGATAGTTATATTATTAGACAAGCAGGAACCAAGCTATTGTCTCCCTTCTGGCTAATGAAAATTACAAAATAGTTGATAACAGTGCCTGGCACATAATTACAATCTTATTTATTGAATGAATTATTTAAATAAACAAACAAAACACACTCTTGAAGTACATGGAAGTAGAAAAGTTAGATATACATACATCCAAAAATTAATACCACACAACAGAAGGGTCCCATTAAATAATAATCCTTTTACCAAGTGCCTATAGTCATTCGTCTCTTGTTCAATGTTATCCATCAGAAATAACAGATTCAGGGGCACCTGGGTAGCTCAGCTGATTAAGCTTCCGATTCTTGATTTCAGCTCAGGTAATGATATAACAGTCATGAGACTGAGCTCTGCATCTGGCTCTACGCTGGGCATGGAGCCTGCCTGAGATATTTTCTCTCTCTCTATTCCCCCTTCTCTTTGCCCCTCCCCTGCTTGTACTTGTATACATGCACACTTGCTCTCTAAAAATAAGAAAACGTAGAAAAATAAAAAGAACAGATTCAAGGTAAGAAGCTTGCATTTTCTAGCAAAGACCACTCACCAACTCACCTCCTTAGGAAATACTTCTTGAGCAACCCAGTGGTAGATAAGAGACATAGTAGGTAGGATGCAAAGAAAAGTAGTAATTTTTGGCCAGTGACAGCCACTTTTGTTTAATACAAGATAAAGAACAGCAGAAAAGCAATCATTTATTCTGAGATCTCTACTGAACAGCAAGAAAAGGGTATGATGTTCTCAAACTGTCAGCAGTTAAGTCTCATTTGGGACTTCATATACCAACTAAATTTGTCTATCTGTACCGGGGGTGTTTACGCAGCATCAGAATGCGAAGGCGGTCTTTAGCCTCTTCGATGTTGAGTGGAAGCCTCTGGGAGAAACTCTCATCATGATCCAACCGCGCGCAAAGATTCTGCAGTTTCATCAGAAGCCCAGACTTGTCCTGTTTCCCAAATGAAACCCAGTGCACACCCCCTGGGAAACAACCTAGTGAAGAAAATAATAATAATAAACTTAAGGCATTTGAACAGGTGTCCTTTGAAAGATTTTGGTGATAAATAGTAGATCTGCTCCTATTTCAATTTCATCCTATCTTCAATTTCTCTTGATTCAGTATGTACATTTTGCTTGTATTGTCGAGCTTTATAACCTGAATCTAAGAAAAGCTGAAGATGTGAAGAAACTGAAGTTTGAAATAAATCTGTTTATCAGTAAAATCTTACCAAGCAAAAATTTAATCTTTGTCATCAGTGATCACTGTAAAACATAGTTTCTCAACCTCAGTACTCTTGACATTTTGGGCCCGATAATTCTTTACTGTAAGGAACTTTCCTGTGCATTGCGGGATGTTTAACAGTCTCCCTGGCCTCTACCCACTGTATGCTAGTAGCATTCCTCCTCCCTGGTTAGGACAACCAAGGATATCTCTAAACATTGTCAAAAGTCTCCTTGGGGGCAAAATCACCTCTGACTAAGAACCACAGATATCCAGGAACACATAACTCACTTACAGTTTTCATGTAGAAACTTAAAGTAAGAAGTTAGGTTCAAGTCTGGCTCTAGGGCTTAATAGCTATGTGATCTTTAGCAAATCACTTAACCTCACTTTCATTTGTTATACTGAAATAGTATTATTTACCTTACCTATTTCAGAGTTACTGCGAGAAATTAATGATATAACATGTGAAGTTGCTATGTTAACTGTAAGGGATTACAACAGACAGGATTACTAGTGATATGGATCTGAGAGTACCTTGCAAATATTAAGTTTTGAACTAGTAGGGACCAGATAAGAATGAAAATTATTATTACTGTTACTTTCAACTGTTAATAGCATCATCATTATTAAGTCATAGTGTATCTTACAATACATATTTTTACTCACATAGGTATCAGGAGCCAAAAATCTTAAGCCTTCATAGACTATACTTAATCAGCTACCCACATAGATTAAAAAAAAAATGCAACAGGGGTCCCTATGTGTGAAATATGGTGAGCAGTAGCATTAGATCATACCAGTGGCATTACCATAAAGATTTATATTAGGTAATCATAAATAGTATAAGAAAAAACAAAAAATAAAGATAAATGAGTTATAATATGCAAAAGGACAATTTATTTACTGTTATTTACAAATAATTAAGCACAAAAATCACTATTATAAAAACTTAATCACCTAAAAGACAGATCTGTATATATGTAAAGACTTACTTTTGACAGATATTCTATTCTAAGAGTTCTACATATTAATCTATTTTTAATCCACATAGTAAACTATCAGGCAGATACTTATTTTCCCCATTTTACAGATGAGGAAACAGAAGTATAGGAAGGTTGAGTATTTTTTCCAAGGTTACACAGGTTAACAAAGCAGAGTTGGGATTCAAACCTCCAGGACCACTGCTCATTCTAAACTATTCTGTTCCTCAAGGATATTTACTACAGCACTGTTTTCAACAGGAAAAAGCTGGAAACAACCTGCAATGTCCATCTTAACCACCTCTTCCCAAGACTGAGGCAGGACCAACTGAGCAAGGAGAAAATCTTACATATAAATGAAGTTTGGATTATTAAATAGGACTTGACATTTTAATTATTGAAATTAGATTGATAGAATGCAAAATGGTGCAGCCACTGTGGAAAACAGTATGGGGGTTCCTCAAAAAGTTAAAAATAGAACTACTCTATGGTCTAGCAATGACACTGAGTATTTACTCAAAGAAAACAGAAACACTAATTCAAAACAACAAAGTAAAGAAACACTAACTCAAAGGGATATAAGCACCCCTATATTTATAGTAGCATTATCTACAATACCCAAATTATGGAAGCAGCTCAAGTATCCATCGATTAATTAATGGACAAAGAAGCTGTGGTATATATACAGAATGGAATATTTTTCTACCACAAAAAAGAACGAAATCTTGTCATATGCAATGACACGGATGAAGCTAGAGAGTATAATGCTAAGAGAAATAAATCAGAGAAAGACACATACCATTGGATTTCACTCATGTGGAATTTAAGAAACAAATTAACATAGTGGGTGGGAAAAAAAAAGAGAAAGAGAGATAAACCAAGAAACGGATTTTTAACTATACAGACCAAACTGATGGTTACCAGAGGAGAGGTGGGAGGGGGAAATGGGCTAAACAGGTAATAGGATTAAGGAGTGCACTTGTTCTGGTGGATGTGTGGAACTGTTGAATCACTATCTTGCATACCTGAAATTAAAACCTTGTAAAGAATAAAGTTACACTTACACCAAAAAAAAATAACTAAAAACAATAATACGTACACTTGTTGTGATGAGCACTAGATGATGCAGAATTGTTGAATAACTGTATCATGCACCTGAAACTAATCCACCACTGTATGTTACACAATTGGAATTAAAATAAAAACTTAAAAAAAAGTTAGATGGTTTTTAAAACTTCAAATGACTTAGGGACTCTGAACCTGTACAAGGTGAAGGAAAGAATCAGTCCCAGGAAGTTTTGAACAGGCAACAAGGGAAAAAAGTTGTTTTCTGATTATACTCTACAAATTTCAATGCAATAATTACACCTCCACTAACTAAACCTAGTAAAACTGCCAAGGTTTATGATCATGAATTTACACTGAAATTCAGTTGGATGATTTTCTTCAGCAAAGAGGAAGCAAGTAATGGTATGGATGAAGCAATGGGGAATAAGCAAGTAACTGGATGAAGCAACGGGGAGTAACCATTTAGATGCCATCTCTTAGCACAGAGAAGGAGTCAGCTTCTACCCAAATAAGGAGGAACTAAAGAGCCAAGAGTATGTGCTGAGGAGCAACTGATTAATGGACAATATAAACCTAGGCCTGAGCCTAAGAGGAGGCTGATGAGATAAATAGTAAGGATATTATGAAATCAAGGAATAATTCTTGAAAGGTCAGCAAACTGTAGTAGTGAACTTGAAGAACAGAATAGGTGGAGGTGGGTAGAGCAGAAGGTTTAACATTAAGATTTCAAAAGTAGTACCCTTTCCGGTATTGGCAAGGACAAGGGTCCAGTCTGTCATCAGGAAAGTAAGTAGCTATAGGGAAATAAAGACAATGGTCACTGCAGGTAAAGAAATCAAGAAACTGAGAGGCCAAGATTTTGGATGACTCATCTATATAAACGTCAATATCCTACTAAGAGTATCAACAGAAAAAGAGCTTAAATTTATAATTAAGAACTCTAATCATCAATGGGGAACTTGGAAGGATTAGAGAAATGAACCTCAAAGGACAAAGACTTTCGTTGGAAAAGGGAGTATTAATGGTCTGGATGAGGCAATATAAAGCAAGGACAACATCAACATCCACTCACTCCCTAGTGCTTAAGTATGTAGGCTGTAAAGGGAAAAAAGTTGCCAAACCATGAAAGGCAGCTATGAAGAACGTGGTATGGGGGGGGCGGGGGGAGACAGTGGGGGAATGCCCAACTTTAGATAAGGAGATAAACATTCTCAGAACAGGTTGATAAGATAGAGGAGTTTCCTGATCACAGAGGAGAAAACCTAGAGGGTAAGACAGAAAAGCTTGGGAATAAAAGGAGGAAACTTAGATCAGAAATGGCAATGAACTAACTATAACAGCATGAGAATCTAAAAGATATCAAATGACCAGGAGACAGAAAATTCTGCTGGGAACTAGGGTAAAGATAGTGCTGTGAAGTGAAAGCTTCTGCAAATTCCCTTAGACTTCCCTCAATCTAAGTCTACATTTATGAAATGGTAAATCCCTGAGATTTCCCTTAGTGTTACAGCTACATTCAGTGTGTGCACAGGTTTATAAATGCACAGGAAAAAAGTTTGGAAAAATTCACTGTAAACTGTTAACCACAATTACCTCTGCTAAAGGATGTACAATTTAGGAGAAAGGAAAGAAGAGTAAGTGAAGTTTTACTTCTTTTTAAATGAATATACCACTTTTGTAATTTTTTAAAAGACTTTATCTGTAAATAATCTCTATACCCAACGTGGAGCTCGATCTTACAACCCCAAGATCAAGCCTTGCATGCTCTACTGATAGAGCCAGCCAGGCACCCCTACTTTTATAATATTTAAATCAGATTTTAAACTACCTGTTGCTTTTATGTTTTATGTTTTGCTTTTTTTAAATGTGTGCATTCTATTTAAATTTCTTAAAAATCAAGGCACCTGTGTGGTTTAGTTGATTAAGCAGCCAACTCTTTATTTCAGCTCAAGTCATGATCTCACAATCCATACTGTCCACACAGAGCCTACTTGGGATTCATGTTCATTCTCTCTCACTCTCTCCCCCTCCCTCCCTCCCTCCGTTTCTCTCTCTCCCTAACCCCCACATTATGTACATGCCCATTCACTCTTTCCTTCTATCTCTCTCAAAATAAATAAACTTAAAAAAAAAACATCCCAGAGTAAAAGACAAGGAAAAGCAAGTGTCCTGATGTAGTAGTTAATAAATCCTTCAGACTTAAATCTACGTACCTATTACCTAGACCAAAGTTCTTTCTCTCCTAAAAACAAATACAATATGACTTCACGTAAATGTAGAACCTTAAAAACAAATAAACAAAAAGCAGAATCAGATCCATAAATACAGAGAACAAACTTAAGTTGCTAGAAGGAAGGGGAGTGGGGAGAATGAGCAAAATGGATGAAAGGGAGTGGGAGGTTCAGGCTTCCAGTTATGGAATGAATAAGTCAAGGGGATGAAAGGTACAGCATAGGGAATATAGGAAATGGTATTATAATAGCACTGTATGGTGAGAGATGGTAGCTATAATTTGGGTGGGTATAGCATAATATGTACAGTTCTCAAATCACTATGCTGTAGACCTGAACCCAATGTAACACTGTGTCAACTATACTTGAATTAAAGACAAATTTTTTAAAAAATAAAGGAACAATAGTATGTTCAAAAGTAAAAAAAAAAAAAAAAAAAAAGGGCTTTCTCTCCTAAATTTAAAACTAAAAATTTAGGGCATTAGAAAC